TTGTTTTGTTTTGTTTTGAAGCACTTTGGAAACCATAACTCTTGGGAGGCAAGACATGCAGGTTTTTGTCATTGTTCATCACTGACTGCATGCAATAGAACTCTTGCTAGACTCTCAAACGAATACCAACTTAAGGATCAAGTCCTTGCAGCACTGTGGGTTTAATGTTACATGTTGGAGGGGGCCTATCTGGAGCACCACTGGGGACCAGAGGACTTGGAGAAACCTTCCTGACTGATGTCATAGACCGTGAGTAGAGTCACCAGATAGAGATGGCAGAAGACTGCATTGGGATAAGAGGATCTCTGAATCCACTGCCTTTCCTATCCCCCCATGGCTGCTTTTATCACCCTTCAAGGAAGTGCTCCCAGGCTATGAGAAAAAAAAGTGCTGTTTTTTCAAAAGTATAAGGAATCATCCAAAAACATCTGCATTTGTTTCAAATGGAACTTGCCACTGCCAGGAAAACAACAAAGTTGTTTGTCAGAATCTAGTCTGTATTTATTCCTTTGTCTTTGTTTAATTAGCTTAATCCTTCAACGGTTTCCCTTGGGTCAGTAAAAATCACCCTTGGTCATAAATTCCCGAACATTCTAAAAGCAGTTTGAAAGGACAGGCCACTAGAAGCCAACTGGCAAGCTTACTTAACGGGACGATTCTCCTGGAATCGCACTCACGCAGGAGTCTGGGCCTGTTCTAGCTGTGTAGGGAGCGGGAGGGAGAGCAGCAATCTCTCTCAGGTTTGCCAACAGGAAACCGGGCTGGGATCTCAGATCATAAATGGGAGGCCAGCTCTGGGCATTTTCTCTTTCCAGGGATATGGGGCCTTTATCCATCAAGTTCAGTGGCTCTCAGCCTGGCTACATGCTGGAGACCTCTGGGAACTGAATTGGATACCATTACCTGAATCCATGCCCAGCTGTTCTGACTTGATAGGCATGGATCTGTGTGTGTGTGTCTGTGTGTGTGTGTGTACATGAGCACTTTGCATTCAATTTTCAATAAGTCCCCGGAACATTCTAATGGCAGCTCGGCTTGGGCACTGCTGCTTCTGTTATAATCTGGGAATTACTCATTGGCTCTGCTACAGGTACCTCAGCCTGCTTGAAAGGAATATCAAGTTCATGGCCTTTTCTGCCTACCCTATGGTATGGGGAGGTCTTTTTTGGGGGGAAAAAATGTTGTTTCAAGGTCCTGGTTCATTGCTTTTGAAATGCTATTTTCACAAAGGTTCTTTTGCAATATACTGGCTCCTCCTCCCCACTGTAAAAGCTCTTGTTGTAAGATCCTGTGAAGGAATTCAGAGCTAGGAGCTGGGAAGTCAGCTGGGTCTCTTGTATGAGTGGCAGGAACCCAGTTTGTTGAGCCGTCAACACTGCCTCGGAGGCATCGCATTAACAGGAAGCTGGAGTTGGGAGCAGAGCCAGGAGTCCAACCCACGCACTCCAGTTTGAGATGTGGGCATCACAACATCTTTATCACTAAGCCCAGTACCTGTTTTAGAGTTTTATTTTTAAAAATAGTTCACTGCACTTAGTAGGTGTGCTGAACCAATTCCTATTTTATTTCTGTATCAATGTGATGTATTTATCTCAAAGTATGATAAACTGTGGAACTCGGAGATCTAAGAGATGATATTGAAGCCTAGCTGTTGGAATCAGGGGTTCATCAAGCTTTCTAGGCAATGTTTTTTGATCCTACCTGTCAGAGTGATAGCTTTGAATGAGAGAAAATTCTCTTCTTTCGTATGCCGAGTCCCTTTGTTGCTTTCCGATTGTCCTCAATTTGAATGGTGAAGCTGCTGGTAGAGCTAGGAAGCTGTTGCACAGCGTCCAAGCTGTTCTCCCTGCTGGGAAACAGTGTGTGCATGTGGCAGCTTGTCCATGCCAAGGAGAGCCTGGGTCAGTGATGGCTCCAAGATGTGTTTAATTTTTTCTGTCTCTGCTGCGTTCTCCATTCTGCTGTGGTAGAGGCCTTCCCGTAAGTGCATTCCTAGGTGGCCTGTGACTACAGAGCCATAGCTCAGTTCTTGTGGACACAAGATGTTTGGCCAGTGTAAGCCTGCTCCAGCCTTTCCCTTTCCCCAGACCAGCATTCTCAGTGCAGACACATAGAAAGTGCGCAAAATGATCACGAAATTTATTCGCAAGTTGAGAATGGGAACACACAAACATGCATAAGCATGGAGTGCCCCACGCAGAGAAATACCTGTCACAAGAGGGCAGTGGGCTGGAAGGTTACAGGAAGAGAAAAAAAAGGTGGGGAAGGCTAGAACAGGGACTCAAGCAGCACCTCCAGCTATTTAATTTTTTAAAAAAGATTTATTTTTATTATCTTTTTATTGGAAAGGCAGATATACAGAGAAGAGAGACAGAGAGAAAGATCTTCCATCTGCTGGTTCACTCCCCAGGTGGCTGCAATGGCTGGAGCTGAGCTGATCCAAGGCCAGGAGCCAGAAGCTTCTTCCTCCAGGTCTCCCACACAGGTGGAGTGTTCCAAGGTTTGGGCCATTCTGAACGGGAAGTTGAGCAGCCTAGACATGAACCAGTGCCCATGTGAGATCCAGCAGTGGCAAGGGGAAGATTAGCCTATTGAGCCGTTGTGCCAGGCCCTGGAGTGCCCCTTTTTGGCTTCGTTTGTGAGATCAGGAGTGGTGCATCTCTAGGCATGAACCCACATAGGAATCACATGGCACTTGCACAAGTTCCATGTGGTGCTTAATAACTGTGTCTTCCTGATGCCCTTCCCCCCATTTAGGTCCCTGATGAAGCAGACCCATCCCAGGAAAGGGAGCATGTTGATGGATGAGTAGGGAGATAGACTTATCCTTAGCAAAACTGAACTACCTGCCTATTCCACATCAAGACAACCAGTAGCTGCCCACCCATCTCTCCCCTGGGGAATTTTCGTGTCCCGGTGTCTTCATTTTCCCCTCTGGTTACTGGGGTGAATAAACAGAGTACCACATGTCCTTCCCCAAAGCCTCTAGTAGACAAAGGCGTAAGGAAAGTATGTCCAGAAGGAGAGATTTGGACTTCGGCACTTGAGGCTATTTTTATTCTTGCCCTGTTTCCATGAGGGTGGCAGTTCCTTTGGCTGGGGTCCCCCTGCTGCCCTGTCTGCAGAATGTCAAAAAGACGGTGCTGGATGATCTTGGGGGTGAATCAGGGCAACTGTGGTGATGAGGCACTTTGTGTTCCAAAGGATGGGCTTGCCCTTGCTGGCGTCAGGCTCCATTCCCAATGTAGATATTTGTAAGTACTCATTTAAAAATATTAAAATACCCTCACGTGACCCCTGGCTGCCTCAGAGTGGTAGGATTATAGGTGCATTTCCTTTGTTTTTTTTTTAATATTATTTTATTTTATTTATTTATTTTTTTAAATAAAATTTATTTTTATATTCTTTACATACTTAGTTAGAGTAAGAAGGTTCAAGGGCTACAGGAAAGTGGATAATACTAGTATGTTTTCCATATTGTTACCTTCATGTTTAAAAGGGGGGTATTAAGGGAGAAGGCCCACCCAATTTCCCACCCTCCCCAAGTCCCGGGTGTAGGGCATGCTCTGAGGTTCTTGCTCGAGTGGTTTTGATGTTGCAACAGTTATGAATCGCTGTCAATCTTGCCACTCCAAGCACTATGAGGTCTTTGAAAAATCCACTGATTGACATAGTCCATCATAGCTGAGATGGTTGGTTGACCTGTTCTGTCTTCTCTCTTTTCTTCGTTAGGGTTCTGAGTCCAGCATTTAGATTAGGAAGATCTCCAAAGAAACTTCTTGTATGTGCTAACAAGTACAGGGCCTGGCACCGTCCATCGCTCCAATCAGCTGGTGGTTGTAATTGTTGGGTTGGTTCTGTTTTCACTCCCGACTTCCACTGGAACCAATGGGTGTTGCAGTCCAGCCTGGTTCTGCCCCGCACATATTTGGCCCTCACCTAAACCAGTGGGAGCTGCAGCCTAGTTGGAGCGACCCACAATAACCCCCACCAGGACCGCCCCTACCCTGGTTTGCCAGTAAGTGTAGCAGTAATCCAGTCTGCCCCACACCCCATTCCACCCCAGCCACTGTTTAGTTTTATGTCCTCCCGTGGAAGTGGTAACCCAAGAGGGATGAGCCCACTATTACCCTCCCAGGCCTCTCCCACTCCCAGATTCCAGCTGCCCAAAACAAACCTCGCCCACTTAAATTCTGTTTGCACCAGTAGGAATAATCCACCGAGCCCGGCTTTTCCCTGATCTAGTCCACATGAGGCGCACAGGTGTGGTAGCTCTGCCTAGTCTGGTCTGCCCCCATCCCAGCCCATGCTCTCCAGCGGGAGTAGCTGTCCAGCAAAGGAACCCTCCCTTATTCCCCTGCTGGCTCTGCCTACTTCCTTTCTTGTTCTCAGGCTGGTTGGGCGCTGCGGTCCCCTCCGGTACAGGCAACCTCACCTCGGCATTCCATATTGTGCACTAGTCTTTGTTGCAACCGAACCTAGGTCGACCCACACTGGTGCCTGGATTTGCCAGTGGATGACGTGGACAGATTCAGCCTGGTCTTGCCCCTACGTCTGCCAAGTGTATGCCAGTGGGTAGCTTTCCATGGCCTGTTCTGGGCTGTTTCCTATCATGTTTCTTGCGCTGACCTGCCGGGTCTGTGTCCTGCCAGAGGAGTTGCCCAGGCTCCTCCATCAGAACCTCTCCCAATGCCAGGTTACACGCTTACCAGTGGGTCCATGAGCCAATCCTACTCAGTCCACCTCCTGTCATAGCAGGAACTGTGGCTTTTCCTGACTGGCCTTCCACCCAATCTGGTTCTTGCTGTTGGATGTTCCAGCCCAGCCATGGCTTGTCCAGGTGCATTTCCTTTGTAAAAATGTTTCTCTGTTTTCTGAATGTTCTGCTTTGAGCACAAATGAGCGCCTCTGGAGTCATCTCAGTTGACTTAGCATGTGCCATGAAGTCCCTCAGGTGCCGCCATCCACGGTCAGGTTCTAACCTTGCCATTTTGCCTCAGTCCAGGATCTGTGTGCTACGGAGGACCACGCCTGCGAGCAGCTGTGCGTGAATGTGCCCGGCTCCTTTGTCTGCCAGTGCTACGGTGGCTACACCTTGGCTGAGGACGGGAAAAAGTGTGTGGGTGAGTATCCTCCAGTCTTGCCGAGCGAAGACCTATAAGCCAAGCCCGGCAAAGAGGCAGGACCTGCTTCCCAGGCACCTCCTGTATCTCCAGGTCCCCTCTCCTGGCTTCCCACCAAGTGCTTGGTTCTCTGCTCTAGCTGTTGTGCAAAATTTGAACAGGGAAGATTTCATTTATGACATAAGTGAGCATTTTCTCATTCTGGGGCCTCAGCAAAAGGCAACTGTAGGATAATCTAAGGCGGTGTAAGTGGCTATCCCTGCTTCACTTGAAAAGGATTTGGAGGGTGTGTTTGAGAAGTCTGGCTTACATAGAGCTCATGTGTTCTGCCTGCCATTCACTGGGTGATGGGTGCAGGTGCCGTGTGGGCTTGCGGCTCCGTGAGAGGCCCCAGGGACTGCCAGACATGTGGGTGCGGCTCTATGTGCTAAGGCTGCATGATCAGAGAAGACAAGCATGGCTCCCATGTCAGACCCGGCTCAGGAGTCTCCTGGATGTGCTTAACCTCAATCACCGACTTAGAGTTAGCTGCTTGCCCTCCCATCCCAGGAGACCGGGTGGCAGGTAGGAGAGGTGGGGTAGTATGTGATTTCTTCAGTCATGGTTCCCTAGACAGCCGCAGAGCAGGTCAGCAATTCTCTGATGTGTGTGCAGCAACTCCTGGTTGTCCACAAAGCCCTTGCAACTTGGGTGCTCTTAAAGCCAGTGTGTGGCACAGCGGGTTAAGTTGCCACTTATGATGCCAGCATCCCCTATGAATGCCAGTTCAAGTCCTAGCTACTCCACTGATCAGTTCCCTGTTCATGGGTCTGGGAAAGCAGTGGGAGAAAGTCCAAGTGCTTGGACTCTGCCAACCAGATGGCAGACCTAGATGGAGTTTGAGTCTGCTACAGCAGCCTGACCCAGCCCCAGCTGTTGTGGCCATTTGGAGAGTGAATGAAGTGCATGTATTCTCTCTAGCTCTCTTTCTGCCTCTGTGTCTTCCTCCCTCCCTCTCTCCCTGTAACTCTTTAAAATGATATGCATACGTTCTTCAGATTTATTTGTATATATTCTTAAGATTTATTTAATTTATTCTACTCTTTTTTAAAGATTTTTTAAAGATTCATTTTTATTTAATATTAAGATTTTTAGAAACAGTCAGCATGAACTCACACATGCCTTACTAGATAGGACATAAAGATTAGTTACTCCTCACTAAGGTATTAAAGATTTCTCTGCACACCCCTCCTAAAACTGTTCTGCACTTCAACTGTTGTTATATGCCTTCTTAGAGTTATAAGCCGGTTTACACTATCCCCAAATCTGCCAAGTTCAGCAAAATTAAGCTTCAACACTATAAATTGCTGAATGCTAAAATGAAAATAGACACGAGACAGCTGAATAATTCCCTATAGCCATTTTAAGGTGTATAGCAGCCGGTTCTGTGTATAAACCAAAATTGAAATGTCAATGAAATAGTCAGAGGTTGCAGTTAAGAACCTGCATTTAAAAAATATATTTGTTACTCAATACCATGTCAATTAATTCCATAATGTTGTAAATTGATGTTGATGTTATGTTGTAGCTTTTAATTGATCAAGATGATATTCTGCCAGCTCTGCTTTCAGACCAGAGATGGTCTCCCCAATAATCCGTTGAATTTACAATAAGATGCTGGACTTTATGCTTGCAATGAAAGAATCTTAACTGAACTTGAACTGTAATACTGCAACAAGGTGGAGGAATCCACCGTGGGGGGAGGGTATGGGGAGGGGTTGGGGGAATCCCAGAGCCTATGAGACAGTGTCACATAATGCGATGTAATCAATAAAAAACAATATAACAAAAAAAAGATTTTTAAAAATTTATTTATCTTTATTGGAAAGTCAGATATACAAAGAGGAGGAGAGACAAAGAGGAAGATCTTCCATCTAATGATTCACTCCCCAAGTAGCCGCAATGGCTGTATCTGAGCCAATCTGAAGCCAGGAGCCAGGCACTTCATTCGAGTCTATCATATGGGCACAGGGTCTCAAGTCTTTGGGCCATCCTCAATTACTTTCTCAGGCCACAAGCAGGGAGCAGGATGGAAAACTGGCCTCCAGGACATGAACCAGCACCCATATGGGTTCCCAGTGCATGCAAGGCAAGGACTTTAGCCACTAGGCTATGGCACTGGGCTGCTTCCAAGACAGAAGCTTTGCTTTTTCTGAAATGTGACAGGCAAGAGAACTTCCAGGCTGGGTTAAGGTTAATGTCACGTGCCAACAAGACCAAAGGGAACAGATTTCGGAAAGAAGGCTACCACGTTTAAGTGTTGATTCGCTGTAGCAAACATTTCAGAACTCTGCCAGAACTCATGCTTAAGCTTCTAAGAAGAAAACTAGGAAGCCATTGCTGGTCATCAAGGAGGAAAGATCAGAGTTTAGAGGTTGGAGAGCAGGCTCTGAGAGTGGTGACAGCCCTTCTGAAGTGTTCGTTTGAAAACCCGTGTTAGACAATAGCCATGTCTGGCTGCTGGTGAATTGATGTGAAGGGTTTTGCCTTTCAACGCTTCAGAGCCATGATTCTAGGATGTGACTCATCTCAGAGTGATGGCTGTGAGCCCCAGGGAGATGCAGTTCTTAGCCACTGACTGAGGACTTCATACAACATTTCCACATGTTTAACTTAGTGGAATGTTGCATTCAACTGCCAGAGTCCCATCCGCCTGAGTGGTCCATTCACTTGGGAGACAGTGCTGGCTTTATCTCCACCTCCAGGCACTCCACTCAGGATCGCCCACTCCCTGAAACCCCCTCTTGTGCTTTGGGGAGTCCCTGCATTAGTGATTAATCCACTGCCACCAAAGCTATGTGCGTGACCATCCAAAACTGTGTATCTTTTATTTTTTTCAAAGAGCATTTTCTATCTCTGAGGGTGAATTTTCCACTGGCCTTGCACATCTGGCGTTACTGACTGCTTTATTGTGTTGCAGAAAAGCTGGTGAGCGGAGTCTGGGGTCGTGTCCTGGTGGTGAGGGTGGTTTACAGGGCCAGACACAGCGGTGAGGGTAGAACCAAAGTTTTTTTTGAAGTAAGAAAAAGAAATTATAAGCAAAGAAAGGGGCTGGTAGAAAGGAAGACCAAGCCACTGAGTTGTCACAGTCTCAGGGTTTTTTTGGCATGTCTTTACGATGGTGTCTCCAAGGAACAAAGGTAGTGATTATCTATGAGTGACTTTGAAGGCTGGGGCAATCTTCCCGAGCCCTTTCTGGCTTGTTTTTGTGGAGATCTGGTTGCTGTTGATAAGTGATTGTTCCAAGAAGCTACCTTCTTTTGTTTAGAGTGTACGTGCTGGCCAAGGAGCTGTAGGCTGGTGTCAGTCTGGCCTGTTCTTAGTGCCAGGCTCTTTCAGGGTTTTGCATCGGGCTGGGTCTCCCCTGCCCAAGCTGCTTGTGGACCTTCAGGGTTGTACTTTGTTCCTCATGCAGAGAGGGACTGGCCACACACGCATTTTCCTTATTCATTGACTGCTGTGGAGTGACTGGTCCAAACTCGAGCATTCATGTCTGTAGAATAAAATCTCTTCCCCTTAATTACAAAATCTTCTTTTGCTTATTGTTTTGAAAATGCTGGTGTATAAATGTGCACCAATCAAAGCTTGAAGTTGCTTCTTCCAGTTCCACTTCCTGGAGCTCACCACTGCCAACAGCTTACCTTATGCTTCTGTCTTTTGTTTTTCTTTCTCCTTTTCCTTGGTATTTAAAAAACATGTGTTTATTTATTTATTTGAAAGACAGAGTTAAAGAGAAAGGGAGAGAGACAAAGATCTTACATCTGTTGGTTCACTTCCCTAGTGGCAGCCATGGGCAGGGGTAGACTGTAGCCAGGAGCAGGGAGCTCCATCTGGGTCTCCTACGCGGTGGCAGGGGACCAGGTTCTTGAGTCACCTTCTACTGCCTTCGCAAATGCATTAAGAGGAAATTGGATTGGAAGCAGAAGAGCCAAAGTTCAAAGCTGCACTTGGAAGTGGCAACTTAACCGTAACACTAGGTCCCCATCCATCCTTTCTTCTCAGGATAGAATTTGCTTCTCATTGCCTTCTAAGGTTTAGAGTGAAGTCTTGCACAGTAACTGATGAATAAATAGTTGTGAAGCAAATGGATGGCATTTGGATATCTTTTGACCCTCAAAATCTACCTGCCCTGGTTAGGAGACTGTGTGATAAACTACATATATTGATGCTAAGTCCCATGATGCATTTGAAATTTCTCTGTCTATTGCAACAACCTCAAGAGGTGGGTACTACTGATGTACACATTTTACAAGTCTCCTAACCTCTTTCTGCTTCAGTTATATCATCTGAAATTGAGGTTAATATCTACCCCAAAAGATTGAATTACTGTGTGTAAAGCACTTAGAATAGTGCTATACAAGTGCTTGTTATTAATATTTCCACCATTGCCATGTCTCATAGGCAAAAACTAATCAACATTCACTGAGTCTTAACTAATATATCATTTTTTATTTGTTATTTTCTTATGAATGCTTGCATTTGCTAATATACCAAACTTTAGTACACACACTTATTACTTAGCATGGGGGTTTAAGATGCTTCACCACTACCTTCAAAACTTTCTCCCAGAGCAGGTGTTTGTACCAGGTATTAATTAGCTCACTGGTTAGAATGCTCACATGCCACAGTGCAGTCCCTGGATTCACGTCCTATCCCTAGCCCGACTCCACCTTCCTGCTGCTGTGGACTCTAGAAGGACAGTGGTGTTGGCTTAAGCAGCAGGGTTTCTGCCACCTGTACAGAAGACTGCATGGAGCTTTTGGCTTCGGTCCTGGCTTGGCCTGGGCCACTCTGAGTGTTTGGTGGAGTAGGTGGTGGGACTGAGGGGATGGAGTAGGGGGATGGTGTGGACCGACACATACAAACCCCTATTTTTCTGTCTCCTTGCCTCTCAAATAATTACTTAAGGAATTTTAAAAGAGTCTCAATTTATTTTTTATTGGAATGGCAGATACACAGAGAAGAAGAGAGACAGAGAGAAAGATCTTCCGATCTTCCCCATGGGTGCAGGGTCCCAAGGCTTTGGGCCATTCTTGACTGCTTTCCCAGGTCACAAGCAGGGAGCTGAATGGGAAGCAGGGCCACAGGGACACAAATCGGTGCCCTTATAGGATCCGGGTGTGCAAGGTGAGAACTTTAGCTACTAGGCTGCTGTGCCAGGCCCAGAAGGCTGGTTTCTTATGGGGTCTCTGCTCTTATAAGCTTGTCCGCTGGCACAGGCAAGGCTGTGTTCACATGGTCCACTTGTGTATGTGTGACCACTGGTATCCTTCTTTTGTACCTGGATTTCTGCTCCTTCTAAAGACATTGCCAGGCTGGATTAGAGCCACCCTCACAGCCTCATTTTAACTTAATCATTGTTAAACACCTAAGCCCCATGTTAACAATTCTGTAAATATTTCAATGACCATAATTGTTATTTCAAAGTTAACATAAGTGGCATGATGGTTGCTCAATTTAAATTTTTGTAGGTGCCTTATTTATATAGGACAATGGGACATCAGGAGTTAAGTCCCTATCTCCAAATAGAATCACATTCTGTGGTATTAGAGGTTAGAGCTTCATTTGTGGAGGGGACGCAATACAGTCTGAAAGACTCCTCTGTTATTATCAAAAGCAGTCAGAAACTGTATCTGAGATTTGAAATCCTGCATATTAAAAAACCAGTCTTGCTTTTTGGAGAAGAGAGGTTTTTCTGTGTCTGACTTTGCCTGTTTAGTATATTCCAAGCAAAAATATATGTTGTGCCATGTTCCTAACTACTAGATTGGCCCTTTCTTACTTTGTTCCCAACCAACTTTAGAATCCAAACATTCCTCTTTAAGATTTCCTGTGTCTGCAGGCTGATGCCTGCTGAGAAAATCCTTGGAATGTAACCAGGTTATAAATCAGAAACTGTCCATCTAGGGTTTTATTACCTTGCAGCAAAGTATGGGTAATCCCTGCAGACAGCTGAGTGATATACCGCCCGTTGGCCAGAGCCTGAATGTGGCACCATGGGCCTCCGGCGCAGGGATCCAAGGACTCTGTATTCTGGAGAGCCCAAGAACTCCAGCCAGAGCATCACTGCACTCTCTGCGCACCGGAAAGAGCTGCTAACAGATTCCGTGGAAGTAGATGAGGACTTGGCACAAGAAAGCTGTCTCTGAGTACACATTGAGGTCACCTCCATATATCTGTTTCCTGTAACCTGGGCCTCTTTTTTCACAAGTGCAAATTTTGCAACCAAGAAGTTGTGCCAAGAACCCAAAACATTTGGCCAAGCATGTCGGAGTTGAATGGACTGGGGCTCTCATGACCTTTGAACAGCTTGCATGTTTGTGAACCTGCACGTGGGCTCTTCTCTATCCAGCCGCCACACCAGTGGCTTTCTCCTCTGTCCTCAGTGCTCTGGTGGCACGTTGGTGGACAGCTATCATGTCCAGGTGGGGAGGTTCTGCAGACTGGCTTCTCAGACCCAGAAATGCTGGAATCCTGCCTTGTCTGTCATTCCCCAGAGAGCTGTGCAGATAAAGAACCTAAGGCCTCAGAGAAGCCATTCTCACCCATGAAACTGGGCCTGGAAAACACCATTCCCAAAGGGGAATTTCTTTTTCTTTTTTTAAAATTACATATCTAAACCTACCATAAAAAGAAAAAAAAGCTTTCATCTGAAGCAGATGTATACCTTTAATAAAAATTAATTGTAATTCTTCTTAAAATGCTAGTTTTAAGTTGATCGGAAGAAAAAATGTGAGTATAAGATTTTAATATCTTTCTTTCATAAGCCATACCCATAACATGTTTATTATTTTCAGTTTGGGTTTCTTTAAGTTGAAATAAGGATTTGAAGACCGTGCAAAGCAATAAGGACAAACTGCTGATAAGTTTTAATGAAAATTTTCCATATATATATTTTGTTGTTGTTGTTGCTGTTGAGAGGGGGAGCGAGTAAGAGAGCACCCACACTTCTACCCACTGATTCATTCCTGCAACGTCCAGGAGCCAGGAACGCAATCCAGACGTCCCATGTGGGAAGCAGCACCCCCTGCCCTTCTCCACTCCTACCCTCACCAGCAGCTGGCCTCCCAGGATTGGCCCTGGTGATATGCTAGACTCATAATTTGGAGCCAGGACTCAAACCCAGACACTCCGATATGGGATGTACTAGTTCTTAACTGCCCTCCCCCTTTTCCTGATGTTTTACACTTATTTCATACATGCCAGATTTTACAGCAGTATGGGTTAGTGTATTGCCTGAAATCATTGCAAAGTTCTCAATTTAGATTTTAGTTTTTAGAAACTTATTTTCTATTTTCTATTGTGCTTATACGTTATTGATTTTGTTAAATTACAGTAATCTTACAAATGGCATAGAGACAAAATAGCTTTTTGTGACAGAAGCTGTCACATTTTAGCATTCATTGAAATCACTTGCACGGCTTATTAAAATGTGTATTCCTGGGCCCTCTGCCCAGCCATCTGGAAGGGAGCCTGAGAGTTGGCACTACTGACTACACCCTAAGCAATGGTTGATGCAGCGTGTTCGTGGCCCACATTTGGAGAAATAATACTTTACTACTTCTTAAAGTTTGTTTTTATTTGAAAGACAGATTTTACAGAGAGAGAAGGAGAAACAGAGAGAGATCTTCCAACTGCTGGTTCATTCCCCAAATGGCCACAATGGCTGGAGCTGAGCCAGTCCGCAGCCAGGAGTCAGGAGCTTCTGCCAGCTCTCTCACATGGGTGCAGGGTCCCAAAGACTTGAGCCATCCTCTGATGCTTTCCAAGGCCATTAGCAGGGAGCTGGATGGAAAGTGGAGCAGTGGAACTCAAACTGGTGCTGAGCACTAAATATAGAATGCAGAGTACAGAATATAGAATGCTGGCACCACCAAGGGAGGATTAGTTTGCTGTGCCTCTATGCCACTGTGCCACCCTGAGAACTAACACTTTATGGCTATGCAGTTCAGTCAATGGAAACACACAAGCAGCTGTCCCAGTACTGGGATGTTCACTGTGCTGCAGGTAGCAGGTTCCAGATTGCCAGAAAAAACGGAAACATTGACTGACCGGAAGTTGGTGGAGTGCAGATCAGTTAAAAGGGCTTCTTCTATGCAACTTTGCTCCTTTTTGCAATTGGACAAACACTGGGAACCCTACTGTATAGCATTCCAGGAAAAGGAAAGTTTGTGGTACATGCTTACCTAGAAATCTTTTTTTTTTTCAATGATTAATTGACTTTTATTTGAAAAACCAGATATACAGAGAGCTGATATAAGAAGAAAGAATTTCTGTCCACTGGTTCACTCCGCAAGTGGCCACAGTAGCTGGAGCTGAGCCCATCTGAAGCCAGGAGTCAGGAGCTTCTTCCAGGTCTCCCACATGGGTGCAGAGTCCCAAGACTTTGGGCCATCCTATACTGCTCTCCCAGGATACGAGCAGGGAAGTGGATGGGAAGTGGAGCAGCCAAGATATAAAATGGTATCCATATGGGATCCCAGTGGTTATAAGGCAGGGAATTAGCCACTAGGCTACTACACTGGGCCCATTACCAATATATCTTAAGTGAAGCTTCTGACTTTCCCACCAGTCTAAATATTGAGGCCAGAAGAGTTATGAGTTGTCCTGAGAAACAAGTGACTGGGCTTACACACTATACCCCAGGCTGTGAAAGGGGGAGGCTAAGAGAGTTCCATGCTAGTATCTTTTGGCTAAGCCGCCTGACCACTCGTAATTACAGCACCTGACTGTGCTAGGACTTGGAAATCAGATGAGCAGCTCCTCTCCTGTTGGAAACGCTGAGAAGTGTGTAGCCAGAGCTGAAGTGGGTAGATGAGAAGTGTGTAGATGTAGAGCCAGGAGTAATATTGGGAGCTGAAAGTTTTTGAACATAGTGGGTCAGGCCCAACATGAGGAAGCAGAGTTGGGGTGACAGACTGCTGATACCGACCCGCAGCATGGCCGGCCAGCTCCTGTGACACAGAGACTGGGGTGTGTGCCAGGATTGGTACTCGTTAATCACAATGTCCCCAGTGTCATCATTAATTTGTCTAACAACGCATTAGTTCTTGAAAGAAGAGAAATGAACTTGGAAGGATTTGGTGCTCAGTATTTCTGCGATGACTCAGCTCCTGCAGCTGGCTAGCATCTCATGATGTGCAGACCTTGACACAATGTGAACGTCCTGTTCTCACCACAAGAACTCCTGAGTAAAGCCCACACACATCAGGTGCTTTCAGAGTGCTTTAGGTAGATAAAGTTATGAAAATGATATTCTGTAGTAAAATTAGTGACCTGGGTACTTTTTTTGGTCCTGATCCATCTCTGCTTCCAGCTTTTTGTTTGTTTCCCCCTGGTGACAGGAAATATCTTCTGATTTTGAGATTCTTTCTTCTGCCTCCTTCATTCTATTTTGGAGACTCTCCACTGTACTTTTAGTTTGCTCCACTGTGTTCTTCATTTCTGATACTTGATTCATTTGATTCATTTCCAATGTGACATATTGCTTGAATTCCTTGAATGCCAGCTTTATGTGCTTCTCATTGTTGATAAGAAGTTTTATAACAGGTGTTTTTAATTCTGTATCCCCCATTTTCTCGATGTATTCCTCAGTGATCTCTGAGGTTGGCAAAGGGTTTTGCTCCTTTGCAGGGGAGTCTTCAGTAATATTCATTGAGCCTTTGTTTCTTCTTTTGCTCTTGGTCATTGTACTTCTGGTTATGAGATTCTCCTTGGGGCAGGTTTCTAAACTGTGTCACCCACAGGTCTGCAGTTCAGTTTTACTTATTGCATATGGTACATGGCTCTTTGTTTGCAGTCCGTTGTGCCACTCCCCCCAGCGAGTTCCAGCTCTGTATTCAAGAATTGAAAGGCACTATTAAGAGACCAAATATAAGAGTTATGGGAGTCCCAGAAGGTGCAGAAAGAGAAGCTGTATTGAATGAAATAATAAGAGAAATTTTCCCTAATCTAGAGAAAGCATTGGGAAGCAGCACCCAGGAGGGGCACAGAACTCCCAACAGGGTTGACCAAAAGCAATCTTCACCAAGACACATGATCATCAAGCTCTCTTCAATAAAACATAAGGAAAAGATTCTTAAATGTGCTCATGAAAAAAAATCAGTTGACATATAAAGGAATGCTAATTAAACTCACAGGAGACCTCTCACAGGAAACTCTACAGGCCAGAAGAGAATGGAGTGACATATTTCAGATTCTAAAAGCAAAAAAATGTCAGTCCAGGATAATGTACTCAGCAAAACGTTCCTTTGTCTTTGACAATGAAATAAAATTCTTCCACAGTAAAGAAAAGTTAAAAGAATTTGCCTCTTCCAAACCTGCCCTACAAAGGATACTTCAAGATGTTCTCTTGACAGAGAAGTGGAATAGCACCCACCAAAACCAAAGGCAAAAGTGAAGAACATCCCAGTAAAATAACAGAAGACTAAATCAATGAACAACCCATTGCTAAAATGACTGGACCAAATTACCATGCATTCATACTAAACCTGAATGTAAATGGCTTAAACTCATCAAAATTAGTGACCTGGGATTGAAACAATAAACCGAGTACAGTTCTTTACCCTTTAGAAATATTTATTTTTCCTTGTTTATCCTTATAGTATCACTATATTAAATAAGTCGTTGTGTTCGCCATGTATGGTTCTTAAAAACTTAGATGTGTATTAATTTTACAGCCTGTTTCCCTGTTATTATTTATCTATTTCTAGATCAGTATGCCCTAAAATGCTATACAGGGAAGCAGTTTTAAATTTTATATGCTTGCTTATTTATTTGAGAGGCAAGAATGGGGCTGAGGTACAGGGGAGAAACAGGTAGACAGAGAGTAGTGGCTCCCATTCTGAGGCTGGTGCTATGCCCAAGTCCATATGGGCATCAATTTGAGTCCTGGCAGCTCCACTTCCCATCTAGCTCCCTGCTTGTGGCCTGGGAAAGCAGTTGAGAGCGGGCCAAAACCTTGGGACCCTGCACCTGCATGGGAGATCTAGAAAAAGCTCTGGGCTCCTGGCTTCAGATGGGCTCAGCTCCAGCCATTGTGGCCAGTTGGGGAGTACACCCCAACTTCCCATCAGATGGAAGATTTTTCTGTCTCTCCTTCTCTCTCTGTAATTCTGCCATTTCAAATTAAAGAAAGAGAAAGAGCTCCTGTCCGCAGTGGTTGAAGCTGGGCCAGACCAAAGTCAAGTCAAACCTAGCCCCACAGTGATTCCTAACTCACCCAGAGTAGAGGCCAAAGTCCTGGTGATGGATTCTCTTGATCTGTTCCCTGCTTGTCTCCCAGCTCTCTGCCTGCTCCACCCTAGCTCGTTGGTGAATCCTGCAGCAAAACAGGCACGTCCCCATCCCCTGCCTGTGGCACTTGCCGCTCTCAGCCTGGCATGCTCCCTCACAGGTGTCCTCATGGCTCAAACCTCATTCAAGACTTTGCCCAGGGCCACCTTCTTCAAGAGGCCTTTCTCACCAACTCCATTTCATCACTCCTTCTGCCTCCCCTCCGCTTCCTCTTTGTTATTTTTTCTCCTGAACACTTCACATCTTTTTCTTTAAAAAAAAAAAACCTATTTCTTCTTATTATTAATAATAATATAATAATAATAATAAAGCTAAATATAGAAGTGTATAGGGAGATCTTCCACCTGTTGGCTCACTCCCTAAATGCCTCAACAGTGCAGGCTGTCCAGGCTGAATCTAGAAGCCCAGAACCGCATCCCAGTCTCATACTTGGGTGGCAGGGACCCAAGCACTTGCTGTCTTCCTCTGCCTTCCCAGGTGCATTAGCAAAGAGCCATACTAGAAGTGGAGCATCCAGGACTTCAAGCTGTGTCCTCAAGCAGGATGCTGATGTTGCAGGCAGTGCCTCAACCCACTGTGTCACAATACCAGCCTCTCCATCTTCTTTTAGATTTATTTTTTTTTTATTTTATTTGAAAGGCAGATTTTTATAAAGAGAAGGCAAGATAGAGATTTTCTGCTTCATGGTTAACTCCCCAAATGACCATAACAGCTGGGGCTGAAATGATCTGAAGCCAGGAACCAAGAGCTTCTTCTGGGTCTCCCACATGGGTGCAGGGGCCCAAGGACTTGAGCCATCCTCCACAGCTTTCCCAGGCCATAAGCAGGGAGCTAGATCAGAAGTGGAGCAGCTGCGACACAAAACAATGCCCACATGGGATGCCAGTGCTTGCAAGTAGAGATCAGCATGCTACATCGCTGTGCTGGCTCCAAGCCCTTCTGTCTTCTAATCATCTATTTATTTGCTTACTTCATTCTTATCTGTTCCTCACCACCATCGTCACGCGCATACAAGCTTGTGAAGGGTGAAATGTTTGCTTTGCTGTTTGCTTGATACCAGCACCTAAAATTGGGCCTGGTGCTCAGTCAATGCTTATGAAATGAGTAATAACGCAGTGTATTTTCTCGTAAGTATTAAATCATTTACTCTTATTAAATGTTCAGCTTATTTTTCAGACATGTGTATGTGCTGGTGAACAATACTGCTATCTAATTTAATCCCTTTCTTTTTCCAATGACTTCTTGAGTCACCTTTCCAGAATGAACATATTGCCAAGAGGAGTTTCTTCCACCATTCATAACTGTGTCGATGCTGCTGTGCCATTAGTGGCTTGCATCTCTTCTTTATCTTTGCCAGTTTCATAGGTATGCTTTGTAGTCATTTTCAATTTGCAGGTCTAACTTTTAAATGCGATTGCTTGTATGTCCTTCAGTTTAGCTTCTGGTGTGAATTACCTTATTAGATTCCTGGTTTAATTTTTTAGAAGACAGATGCTTTGGTTGCCATTTATTTATCCCTCTTCTTTTTTTGGAGGGGTCAGCCGTATTCATCTCTGTTGTCATTTGTTAGAAGCTTGCTTCCGTGCTACCGTTCTCCTTCACTCTGCTGGCGGGTAGAACTAAATTCTGATGTGTCTTCTTCTCCACAGCTGTGGACTATTGTGCGTCGGAGGATCATGGCTGTGAACATGAGTGTGTCAATGCTGATAGCTCCTATGTTTGCCGGTGCCGTGAAGGATTTGCTCTTAACCCAGACCAAAAAACGTGCACAAGTAAGTTACTCATCCGTATCCAATAGGGGCAACTGTGGCCAGGGAGCTCAAAGCCAAAGTGGAACACTTGACCATGACCTAGGTGTCTGGGGACTTCTCACAGTCTTCTACCAGGCTTGCTTGACTTGCCCGAAGGTTACAGCCCACTTTGCTTCAATGCCACCATCACCCAAGGTGTCAGCTCTGGGTCTCGGTGGGAGACCAAGGGCAAATGTGTGCTTCCAACACCCGGTGAGCATGCTACCCTACTTCATTCTGACTTGGCCTGACTGTACCTTTTGTCCTAACAGGGCTTGGAGAATATTTTCCTTGAAGCTCTGTGGCTTGTGGGCTACATCTTTGACTTCTCACAAATATCAGAAAACCACTGCACTGAAAAGAATTGGGCATGCTTTCTTTTGGGTGGGGTAGGGATAGGTGGATAGTTTGTAGATATCTGCTTGTTTTTGAGCTATAAAGAGCCTGCCTTCTCACTGCCTGTAGGGACATGCAGGAGCCAGATCTAGAAGAGGACTTATAAAGGAAAGAGGATGCTAGGGACACATAGAAAGCTGGAGTCGGGAGCTGCCACAGTGCTGTATCACATTAATACTCTGCCTGCAAGTGCCAGCATCCCACATGGGCACCAGTTTGTATCCTGGCTGATCCATGCTTGTGGCCTAGGAAAGCCACAAAAGGATGGCTCAAGTCCTTGGGTCCCTCCACCCATGTGGGGGACCTAGAAGAAGCTCCTAGCTCCTAGCTTCAGATAGGCTCAGTTCCAGCTGTGGGGGCCATTTGGGGAGTGAATCAGCAGATGGAAGACATCTCTCTCTGTCTCTCCTCTTCCTATAAAAACCTGCCTTTCAAATAAAATAAATCTTTTTAAAAAATGAAGAAAGCTTAAGGTGAAACTGCCCTTGTGAGAACACAGACTCTCTAGGGTGCTCCTGATCTGTGGCAAGCCTTGAGAAACAGGGCCCAGTTAAAAGGACAGATGTGACCCTGGCCACTCCCAGTTAAGGCAGCCATCCTGTTAGCAGTGACCAAGGCCTCCCATCAGCCTCTAGCCAAGTCAACTTGCTGCTGCGATGATGTTGAGAGATTTACTAAAGGGCGAGGGAGGGGCGGTGGGAAAGGAAGGGAAGAAAAATTCCACTACTTATAAACTTGGAAAGAATTTTAAAAATTAGAAGAAACATAATTACTTAATTTCCTGTTTCCATTTTTAGCCAAAAAATAATGTAATTTGTAAGTGTGAAGTTATTGCCCAAAAGGGTAGTCTAATGAGTATAAATATAATGAAATGAGACTAGTGTATTGTTAAACCAAAATGTACATCATTTGAGTTTTATGTTCCTGAGTAGGTGATGTAATGTAAAACAAGTGAGGACTATTCAAAACATCTTTTCTAACCATTTCTTATCCCAAAGTCACCCATCCAAATCTACATATTTTCTGCATAGGGGAAGGGTGGAAATTTGCAAAAACAGTCCATTTGTAAAGCATTGCAGGATTTTTTTCGAAGATTAGATTTTACTGGAAAGGCAGATTTACAACGGGAAGGAGAGATAGACCAAGACCCTCCATTCACTGACTCACTCCCAGGAGGCCTCAATGGCTGGAGCTGAGTTGATCCAAAGCCAGGAGCCAGGAGCTTCCTCCAGGTCTCCCACTCTCCTGCTTTCCCAGGCCACAAGCAGGGAGCTGGATGGAAAGTGGAGCATCTGGGACATGAAGTGGCAACCATTTGGGGTGTGGTGCTTGCAGGCAGTAGATTAGGCGGATGAGCTATCACAAGGCAGTTTCTTCATTGTAGTAAGATATGCGTATCTAGAATTTTCCATTGGGAGCAATTCTCTAGGTATACAATTGTGTGGCGTTAAGCCCATTCACACAGCAGTGTAACCATCACTACTGTCCTCTTTAGACCTTTTTAGCATCCCACATGAACCCGTATAGCCACTAAGCACTAACTCCCTCCGCCTCTCCCCCACACTCGCCCCTCAGCTCCTAGTAACTGCTGCCTTGCTTCCTGTCTTTATTAATTTCAGTCTCCCAGGTACCTCCTAGAAGTGGGAATCAGACTGTATTTTTTCCTCTTGTGACACCTAGCCTGAGGTCTTCCAAACTGATCCATGCTAGAGCAGGTGCAAGGATTTGCTTCCTTTTGAGAGGCTGAGTAATAGTCCGTCCCCAGTGTCTGCCACGTCGTACTCTTCATGGACACATTGGCTGCTCCTGCCTTCCAGAAGTTGGGACGGCACCTCTGTGAACTGGGGTCTGTGAGTATTGTCGAGTGCCTGCTTTCAGTTCTTTGTGATGTATACCTAAAAGTAGAATGGCTGGGTTGCAGGCTGGCGAGACTTTGTGAGGTCTGATTGGAAACCTTTACACTTACGGCGCTCTGAGCTGTGCGTGGTCTTTTTACCAGACAGGTCAATAGAGAATTTCAGATCTTTGTAGGGGATTTGTGTCTCTGGTACCAAAGAGACCGCATTTCGTGTCTCAAGCTCAGTCATCTAATGCCTGTCCTGATGAGTAAAGGCAACGTGAGACATACTGTTGTCAATATGTTGCTATTTATTACTTACTGCCTTAAGATTGTAACATATATTATTTTTCAGATTCCATTGATAACTGAGTTGGCATTTCCACTTTATTTTTTTTAAAGATTTATTTTTTATTGGAAAGTCAGATATACAGAGAGGAGAAGAGACAGAGAGGAAGATCTTCCGTCTGATGATTCACTCCCCAAGTGAGCACAACGGCCGATGCTATGCTGATCCGAAGCCAGGATCCAGGAACTTCTTCCGGGTCTCCGACGTGGGTACAGGGTCCCAAAGCTTTGAGCCGTCCTCAACTGCTTTCCCAGGCCACAAGCAGGGAGCTGGATGGGAAATGGAGCTGCCGGGACTAGAACCGGCGCCCGTATGGGATCCTGGTGCGTTCAAGGTGAGGGCCTTAGCCGCTAGGCCACGCACTGGGCCCTCCACTTTATTTTTAAATGAGAAGGTTATACACAGAGTAAGGCACTGAGTGAGTGTTTATTTGGTGCTCACATTAAAAGGGAACCACATGTAAAGAATTGTATACTGAATCAGCGACAGGAGAATGAGAAGATATGGATCCTTAGACTTCCTGGCCAGGACGTAGTTTGACAGCTGAGTCACACTACTGAGCTACAGCCTGTGGTATGAGGGGACTTGAAAAATGTTCACAGAGTGACCAACATGGTGGCTTTACGGGTTAAGCTGCTGCTTACATTACCAGTATCCCATATGAGCACTTGTTAGAACTTACTGCTTCATCTGCTATCCAGCTCCCTGATGAAGTGCCTATGAAGACAGTGGAGGAAGGCCCAAGTGTTGGGCCCCAAACCCACATGGAAGACCCGGATGAAGCTCCTGGCCCCTGGCTTCAGTCTGGCCCTTTCCTAACTGTTGCGGTCAGTTGTGGAGAGAACCAGAAGATGGAAAAATCTCTTTCTCTGTAACTCTGCCTTACAAGTCAAATAAATAAACTTTAGAAGTATTAAATTTAATTTAGAAATAAGGTTATTTTGATAAATAACCTTAAAAATTGGAATCCATGCATAATTTTTTATAATATACACTTTCCATGACCTTGTGTTAATTTAAAAACTTTTTGTATCAAAATTAAATGTATCTTTTTATAAGACACAGAGTGCTTACATTTAAATTGATCTTATGATTGCATTTCCATGAACTTTTTGAAATTCCTGCAATTGCCACTTGGCCAATGAATCAAAAGACTCTCAAAAGAGGACTTGAAGTTTAGCCTGGATTTTTTTCTTTTAAGATTTATTTGTTTGGGCCCGGTGCGATGGCGCAGTGGTTAAGGTCCTCACCTTGCAGGCCCGGGATCCCATATGGGCACCGGTTCTAATCCTGGAGGCCCCACTTCCCTTCCAGCTCCCTGCCTGTGGCCTGGGAAAGCAGTCGAGGACGGCCCAAAGCTTTGGGACCCTGCACCCGCGTGGGAGACCCGGAAGAGGCTCCTGGCTTCGGATCGGCATAGTATCGGCCGTTGTGCTCACTTGGGGTGAATCATCGGACGGAAGATCTTCCTCTCTGTCTCTCCTCTCTGTATATCCGCCTTACCAATAAAAAAATAATAAAAATAAAAATTTTTTTTAAAAAAAGATTTATTTGTTTTTACTGGAAAATCAGATTTACAAAGAGACAGAGACAGAAAGATTTTCTATCTGCTGTTTCACTTCCCAAAGTGGCCACAATAGTCAGAGCTGAACTGATCTGAAGCCAGGAGATTCTTCTGGATCTCCCATGCGGGTACAGAGTCCCAAACCTTTGAGCCACTGTCTCCTGCTTTCCCAGTCCACAAGCAGGGAGCTGGGAGGGAAGTGGAGCAGCCAGGACACAAACCGAGGCCCATAAGGAATGCCAAGGTATTGGTAGTAGAGAACTAGTCAATTGAGCCATTGTCCCAGGCCCCTTCTGCCTAGCTCGTCCCACACTTTGTTCCACAGTGCCCCCGCTGTGCCACTGTGCAGCCTGCCCTGTAATACATCTCCCACCAGGCTCCCACTGTACTGCACAAAAGTTCATTCCCCTTTGGAAAGCTCCGACTCCTAGAAAGCGATTCCCTAGACTGAGCTGAGCTCTGATTCTGTGCATTTAAGAGACCAGCAGAGCTAATTAAACTTCTGGTATTCTTTGTGGTCACTGAAGATGAGTCATATCAGACTCACTGATTTCACACCAGGGATTAACCAGGCATGGAAAACATGGTGGCAATCATCTTGACTTCCGTGGGCATTTGACCAGTTTGCTGAAGAAAGCTCCTTGCCTTGCAGATCCAACAGGAGAAATGTGTGCTGAATACAAGAATGCTCGCAGGGGGTTGTAATTGGCTCAGAGTCCCTGTCCAGAGGAGTACCATGGCGGAACTGAATCCTTCAGGGAGGGGCTTGTAAATATCCTGGTGGGAGAAGCCTTCAGGCAGTGCATGAGAACTGCCTTGCATTCCTCACCACTCCATGGTGTTGTCGTGTTTTTATGTTGCTTGTTGTTTTTGCTTTTGCTGTCCGCTGTTTGTACACCTTAGGCTTTCCAACATATTCCATCAAGATTCATACCAGGAACCATTTGTTCATTAAACAAGTGTTTGGGATGCAGCTGCAACTCTGTGCCAGGGTAGAATGGGAGAATGCAGTGCACAGCAGTAAATCAAGCAAAAATTCAGTGCTTGAAGCTCACATGCTACCGAGTCAGGGTAAGAGAAGATGACAGGTGTCAACAAGGATGACTTCAGATCCAAGACCTTAAGAAAGCGAGATGGAAAAGGGCAAAGACCCAGAGGGAGCAACTGTGAAGCTGGCACCCGGAGGAATAGCGAGGAAGGCTCTAGGCATTGAGTAGCATGAGAGGCTGTGATGGTGCCACTGTGGTCACTAGAGCAGAGACCCTGCCCTGTCGTCCACTTGTTCCTGGTTCTTCACGTCTAGGTAGAGGCAGCAGGCTCAGTTGTTGCTCTACATTCATTTTGTTGATGACCTGTATTTTGATTTTGGTGTATAGACATCTGAAATTATACTTACGTATTATTCTCAGTAACGTCCCTAATTATTTTCTTCTCCTAATCTCTGGGCATCTCCCACACTGTTCCTTCTTTGATATTATTTCTGCTATTTTCCATGGCAACTGCTTTCACAATATGTGTGTATTTTTTGCACTTTTTCTGATTTTAAAGGTGACAGAGCTTCATCTTGGAAAACTGGTCTGTTAGAAATAAAATTGTGGGACCCAGCGCAGTGGCCTAGCAGCTGAGGTCCTCGTCTTGAATGCACCGGGATCCCATATGGGCACCAGTTCTAATCCCGGTAGCTCTGCTTCCCATCCATCTCCCTGCTTGTGGCTTGGGAAAGCAGTTGAGGATGGCCCAAAGCCTTGGGACCCTGTACCCATGTAGAAGATTTGGAAGAAGCTCCTGTCTTCTGGCTTTGGATCAGCACAATATCGGCCATTGAGGTCACTTGGGGAGTGAATCATCAGACAGCAGATCTTTCTCTCTGTCTCTCCTCTCTGTATATCTGCCTTTCCAATAAAAATAAATAAATCTTTTCTTAAAAAAAAAAAAAAGAAAATTGTGGGATGAGCCTGACACATTGGCTGAGTGGCTAAATCCTCACCTTGCATCCTCCAGGATCCCAAATGAGTGCCGATTTGTATCCTGGCTATTGTACTTCCTAGCCAGCACCCTGATTGTGGCCTGGTAAGCAATCAAGGGCGGCCCAAAAGCCTTGGGACCCTGCTCTCATGTGGGAGACCCGGAAGAAGCTCCTGGCTCCTGGCTCCTGGCTCCTAGCGTAGTATGGCTCAGCTCTGGCCATGGGAATGAAACAGCAGATGGAAAATCTTTCTCTCTTTGTCTCTTTTTCTCTGTAAATCTGATTTTCTAATAAAAATAAATAAAGATTGAAGGCTAAATGTGAAAACAAAGCATAATCCCTGACCCTAGACAAGATCCTGTCCTGTTGGGTGAAAATTGATGTAAAGAACATTATTAGATCAATTGAGAAGATTGAAATAAGAGTAAGAGATTTTTAAAAAGTGTATCAGTGTACATTTATGAAGTGTATAAATTATTGTGGTTATGTAAGAGAATAGCTCTCTCTTTTTTGAAAGGAATATCCTTCTGCCTTAGGGAGCTCATGGAGTCCTTAAAGGATAAAGAATCAGGGTGGAGACAATTCAGATAGTTATTATAATCTCAGATAATTCAGAGAGATGACCAAATAATCAAGAAAAATGGGATGAAATGTTAGCAATTAGGTAACTGAGTAAAAAGTATGTAGGTGTCTCTTGTACTGTTATTACGTGTGTAACTTTTTGTAAGTTTGAAATAGTTTCCAAATGACAGTTCTGAGTGCCTTTGTATGTGATTATGGCTAATACAGTAATTTTTAAAGAGTCCTGGTCTTTTAAAGATACATTATGAAATATGGGTAAAATGACATCATGTCTGGGGTTTGTTTCAAAGTAATATGGGATGTTAATTTGGAGGGTGAGGGTATTGAAGAAAGAACAGCTGTGGATTGACTCTTGAATCTACACATGAATTCCTTCCTCTGTCCATTTCTGTAGTTTGAAATTTCCATGACTGTGGAGTGGGATGGATCAGCGTCCTATTGTTTTTCCTTTCAAGGATATGGCATGCTTTTCTCTTTCTTGGTTTCTCTCTTCGTGGACCCCTAAACCTCTCATTTCTTCATTATGAAAATTATATACGCAACACAAGTATGTTCCTTAAAACAATAAAAACCCTCAGCAACACAAAGACTTCTTTTAAGGCCCCAGCAACAGCCACTTTCATGTCAAGTGATTTAGCTAATGCCTCCAACCTTCACTACAACAAAATAGTTCACGCAGACCCTCTAATCAGAAAGTCCCTTTCCATACTGAAAGACAGCTGTGGAAGCGAAACTCCATTAAAAGTTCCTTGAAGCACCTTCTCCTCTAATACCTTTAGTTCGCATATCCTAAGAGGTTGTATTCTCTGCTGATTGAAACCCTGAGAAGCAAGGTTTGAACCTATGCACCTGAGTGCAGTGTGGCGCCCAAGGAGGCATCTGGATCTGAGGAAGCTGATGCCTCTTACTCCTGGGTCTGATTCTGCATCCTATTGAGGAGTTGAGGTGGTTTGGAGTTTGGTTTGGGGACAGCTCATTTATTCGCATCCCTTCAATGAAACACTCCATGCTCTCTCTCCCATCTGGCAAGCAGCAGCCAGCGGGCCTAAACCAAGTCAAGGAAGGCATGTTCACAGATTAATTTCTGGCAGCGAAACATGGTGACATGTCAAGAAGGTTCCAGTTCCTGGGGCTCTGGCCATTTCCCTAAACCTCGAAACAGCTCCAGTGACAGATGTCTTCATGTCAGACAAGTCTTGGAACAGCTTTGGCCTCCTCTCGTGTTCAGGAAACAGTTGAGACTGCCAGTCCCTTGGTTCTCGTGGGCTAGCTTTCTCGTTCTGTTCCGCATTCCCAGGCTTTTCTTTCTTCACAGAGATAGACTACTGTGCCTCCTCGACTCACGGGTGTCAGCATGAGTGTGTCAACACAGAGCACTCCTACTCCTGCCGCTGCCTGAGGGGCTTCACCCTGAACCCCGACAAGAAGACCTGTCGCCGTGAGTGTTGCTGGGCACTGGGAGGCCCGGTCCTACTAAGAGCTCCTCCAGCAGCCCTTCCTGTCCTTGCACGTCACAGCCCAGAGGGATTTGGGTTTCCCAGCATTCATCTGTTGTTGGCTGTATCTTTTAACTCCCTGGAGCCTGCGAGTGGGCATGATTTGGGTTATCTTAGGGTGTATTCTGATGATGAGTTTTCCAGGTTGAGTAGATTGGATCTGACCAGACAGTGACCGAACAAAGTCAAAGCCCGTCCACATTGAGGTGCTCCCACCTGTCTTAAATGAAGGTGTCTTCTCCTTTGCCCCAGGATGTGGGCTTGGGATTTTGAATCAGCAAAGGTGGGGTCCTGTAGACATGAGGCAAAACAGACTGATCATGTCCATCGTGCAAGATCAGACACTTGGGGATGTTCAGAGCAGGGAGATAGTAGCTTTGTCATTTTGGATAGAAACGAAGAACAAAAATAAGATTCTGGGGGAGACCCCAGCACATTCATGAGCACAGGGGTCAGCAAAAGGATACTGAGGATGTGCTGGGTAGACCAGATGCTTGCACCTGGCCCATCAAAGAGCCTAGCCAGACCTGCAGAGCAGGGACCCTCAGAAGGATGCGTCTAATCCAGATTGTTCCTGAGATTACTACCAGAATGGGAGGCCCACCACACAACAGAGATGCTGAATGAGTGCCAGGTCTACATCAGTGCACTGTGTGCTGTGTGGATAAATGAGTCCCTGGGAGATGCAGCAGCTGGGAGAAGCTGCAGCTGCGATGTGAGCTCTTCCGTCTTTTTAGAAACGTTGCCTTTCGGCATGAAAGGTGTGATTTTTTTTTTAAAAAGGTGGTGTTCCCCTCATGCATCTGCAGTCAGGCTGCCAATGTCCATCACAGAACTTTCTGGAATGTCCATCTAGGGATGCATTATCCTACACATTCCTTCTTCCTGGTGATGTGTTGGACAGCAAGGATGAGCTTGGCAGGCCCAAGTTCTGGAAGGTTTCGCTGTGTATGTATTTACACAAGTACAGTGGGCAGCATCACTGGACCCTGTCCCTGTTGAGAGCACAGATGACCTGGCCAGCTCTTTCTAATAAGTGCAGTGGTGGAGGGTTGCAGAGCTGCTGTTTTGAAACCAACTTTCTCCTGGAAAAGATCCTTCCCTCCACCTCGCCTGCATGTACACCCTGGAGACACTCGAGCATTCAGTGGGAATTTGAATGGAGAGCATTCAGAATGTGCAAAGAATTCGATGGGATAGTTTCTTAGGGACCACACATGCCTAGAGGGTGTGGGAGGGCTGGCTTTCCTGGCATGCTCACTCCCCTCCCTGCTATTTGCACCTCTTCCTAGGGGTGAGTATGTCAGGGCTGACCACACCCTCAGAGAATCTCTCACAGGTGGGCTCATATTGTGGACCCAAAGCTCTTTGGTGAGGGGATCATGAGCTCTGACTCAACTGGGACCCTTGTCCTGGTTGCAAGCTTTCCTGTGAGTTCCTGGGGGTATGTGCGTGGGAGGGGAGGAGTGTGTGAAGGCATCAACACAGGCATATGGCCATGGGCAGAGGAGAATTGGCTGGAAGCTCTGCATCTCTTAGCAACTGTCGGAGATCGTCTGGTCCTGTGACCACTCCCTCCCTCCACACCCTGCCTGCTGAGATGCTTGGGAGAAGCAGCTGGGCAAGACTGGGATTGTCAGCAAGGGAGGAGGAGGGGCCAAGCCCACAGGAACGAGTGATTTGGGCCAGCAAGAACTGGCTCACCCCTGGGGCAGTTGCAGGCTGTGATGTCAGTGGTCCTTGCTCCATTTTCTCGTTAGCCAGGTGCCCCATATTTTCATCCAAGACAAAGCTAGTATCCTCATCAGCCCTTTTCCCCCAGCCTTGCTGCCACATGGCCACGGCCTTTACTGCGAGACCCGCCCTTGGCTCCCGCAGGCAGAGTTCCAGAGCTGCCACTGCCTTGAAGAAGTGCACGCCTGCTTGGCGGCTATGGCCGACAGCTGGGAGTGGAAGGGAGTGCTCTCGGCTCTCTGCAGCATTGCGCTTCAGAGGAAAGAGAGAGGAGTTGGGCTTCAAGGCTGGAATTTGTGATGGGATGTCAGGTCTCCAGTGACTTGAGCGTTGCCATCCTTAAGCTCAGGGTAGCACCGTTTGCATTTAATGAGAAGTAAATGGATGCTGAGTGTGGGCTTATCTCCAAATCTAAGAAGCAGTTATTTTTCCTAAGAGATTTGATGTATCTAGTTAAAGTAGACGTTAAAAAGCTCAGTCCAGAATTCTCCGGAAGACTCTGAGCTGGCATGGGGCCTTTCTCTTCACCTGGGCTTGGGTTTTCCTCCTGGACTGTGCCATCATGGGGTTGGAGATGGGAGTAGTTGTGGCCACAAGGCCAAACACAGACTCCTGGGCTGGCCTGTCTGTCTAGGTGGGGCCCCAGGAACAAATCAGTCATGGGAGTGACCCCGCCAGCTGTAGCAAGATGCTGCAGAAATGTGATGGCCTTCTTGGTGTTGCTTTTTGGACTGCCCTGGATGGCAGGAAGAAGAAAAATAATGTGGTCTGCAGCCACAGAAGTCAGTCCAGGGAGGGAGGCAGTCGTGAGGACCTCATACAAACCAGAAATGCCAGGGAGCCACTGATTGTGATTGATGAATGCTGTCTGGCTCTGGAAAAGCATGCTTTGTTTTCACATGTGTCACCTCATGGCTGCAAAGTGGCTGCTGCAGCACCCGGCATCACATCTTCACACTCCTAGACTCAAAAGGCAGAAAGGAGAGAGGGTAGAAATAGGCATTCTCTCTGTAGGCACTTTTTGTCTTTTCCTTGGAATGGCCAGTGCACTTTAGCAAGATCTAGGGCCTGTCCCCATTCCTAAAGACCAAGTTCTTACAAAGAGGAGCATGTTTGCCAGGCTGACTTAGCTCAGCCATGATTCATGCCTTGGAGGTTGTGGGATAATGCTTGTTGGCAAGACAACCAACAGTGCCTGCCACATCCTCGGGAAACGAACAATGGTGTGCAGTGAAACAGCTCCAGCCCAGCCAGTGAGGTCATGACGGCCTTTCCCTCCCCTGAAACCTCCACAAGCTCACTGGGCTCGCTGTCACAGTTCCCGTATCCCCTGCAGCCTGTTTGCATGTGGGGTTTTACATTTCCTACCAGGAAACCAATCACTCACCAGCTACTGATTGTGCTGCAGCTCCCGTCTGCTGGCAGATGATGGGGGCGAGGGAACTGGCCGTAGGGAGCTGTGTCACCTCCCGTTGCATGATTCCGATGCTGCCATGCTCTCCCCAAGAACAAGCAAACCCTCTTCCCTGGAACTGCCATTTCCTGACTTCCCAAGTAGCTGGGTCTTTTGCAAGAGGAGATTTTGTTTATTCTGCCTCCTGCTGTCCGAGGTCACTGTCGAGGTTGCTCTAGACGGAAGCTCCCCCATGACCAGCTGGAGGAAGAGACAAAGCTGAGCTTTGCCAATTTTCTAGAAGGACAGCCTTGCCATGGACTCTGTCTGTTATCAGTAGAGTCTCCACTTGATCTTTGGCCATACCAGAGAGAAAGGACCAATGTTGGGAGAATCCACAGGGATATATCTGGGGTGTCTTCCAGACCAGCTCCCTGAGGACAGCGGCTGATTTCTCTGGGTTCTGCAGAGCATCTTGGATTACTGAAATTCACCTGCCTCTCCCCATTCCCTGTAAAGGCAGTTTTCCGTTCTCCCGGTCCCCGCCACCTATCCAGAGCCTCCACTGCCCTGTCTTGTAGTGTGCAAGGGCCAGCCCCATCTGTGTCCTCCCCTTGCAGTCCCCTCAGCTCCTGGCACCGCCCACATGTGGCCCCTGGCTCTCATGCCCTGCCTTTGTGTGGCCTTCCAAACCCTCCCTCAATCCCTCTGGCGCCCTTCACTTGTGCACTTCTGCTCCCATCAAGGCCATCATCACATCTTCGGCAAAGACACCAACCTCAAGTCCCTAAGACTCAGGGGCTGGCCTCTATCCCCACTCTGTGCCGTCTTACTGTGGCCAGGGGCCTGAACCCCTCCAGGGCAGTCACCTTGACCTTGCCTTTGTCGAGCTCCGGGCCAGCTTGGTGATGTCACCATCAGTGGATGGATGGTAGCTCCTGCCTTGCCCAGAGCGAGCAGCTCCCTGTAGCTCCCTCAGCATGGCTCCTGGGAAAAGCTGCATGTCTAAGGAGCGGGTACCCTCTCTCCCCTTAGGGATCAACTACTGCGCCCTGAACAAGCCCAGCTGTGAACATGAATGTGTCAACACAGAGGAGAGCTACTACTGCCGCTGCCGCCGGGGCTACAGCCTGGACCCCAACGGCAAGACCTGCAGCCGTGAGTATGCAACCTGGGCAGGGACCTTGGGCCAAAGGGAGGCGAGCCACACACAGCACCTGCTCCACTAACAAGCAGGCACCCCTGGAGTCCTTGGCTTTCCCATAGGAGTGATGGGCCCTCCCTTGCCTCAATTATTTCATCCATAAAATGGGACCATTACTACTCTTGTAGCCTCAAACATTCGGTTATAGCATTGAAAAGAATCCCATAGATACAAGTTGTTTGGAACAATGCTGCCAAGATTGAAACTAATAACTGGTAATCAAAAAAAATTTTTTTTAAGATTTTATTTACTGGGCCCGGTGCGGTGGCGCAAGTGGTTAAAGGTCCTCGCCTTGCACGCCCGGGATCCCATATGGGCGCCGGTTCTAATCCCAGCAGCCCCGCTTCCCTTCCAGCTCCCTGCCTGTGGCCTGGGAAAGCAGTCGAGGACGGCCCAAAGCCTTGGGAACCTGCACCCGCGTGGGAGACCCGGAAGAGGCTCCTGGCTTCATATCGGCATAGTATCGACCTGTTGCGCTGACTTGGGGAGTGAATCATCGGACGGAAGATCTTCCTCTCTGTCTCTCCTCTCTGTATATCCGCCTTTCCAATAAAAAATTAATAATAATAAATCTTTAAAAAAAAAAAGATTTTATTTACTTAAAAGAAAGGGAGAGAGAGAGAGAGATCGTTCACCCACTGGTTCACTCCCCAAATGGTCACAGTGGCCAGAGCTGGCCCACACAGAAGTCAGGAGCCAGAAGCTTCTTCCAGGTCTCCCACATGGATATAGCAGCCCAAGGCTTTGGACCATCCTCTACTGCTTTTCCAGGCCATGGGCAGGGACCTAAATGGGAAATGGAGCAGCCAAAATTTGAATCAGTGCCCATATGAGATGCCCGCACCACAAGTAGTGGCTTAACTTGCCGTACCGCAGTGCTGGCCCCACCAACGTTATTTACTGTTGAGGGCCAATACCCAAGTTTTGGCTCATTCTATTTAGTCAGGCTTAAATTCAAATCTAAGCCCTCTGAGACAGGAAGCTGGAAGGGTCTTGGAGGGCTGCAGCATGCCGCACAGGCAGAGTTGAGAAGCATGGCACTTGGTGCAGGCTTTCCTTGGCTGTCCTGCAGTGAGCCACAGCAACGCTCCACTCAGTGATGTAAACCCACGGGAACTCACAGGCCATGCCAGCTGCAGGATCCCGTGGTGTTCTGTAGGTGCCAACTGGATAGGTGACACAAGGGGGCTGCCAGAGCGTCCCTGTGACCCTGGCTTGGCAGGGCTGGGAGCAGAGGCTCACACTTGGGGACGCGGCTGCACGCAAGAGGCCTTTTGTGGCCAGCCAGGGAGCCACATATTCGCTCTAGCTCTGGGGCCAGCAGGAGACGGTGAGAATAGCACCTAGCTGTGGAACGGGAGGATCACAGCTGAAGTAGCAGGTGCAGGCAATGTGTCCTCAGGAAACCTCACACCTGGTGGGAGCCCCAGGCAACACGGGGCACAGGGTCTCACCAGCTAAGTTCTTGTCTGAGGCCCAAGGATTTCTGAGCTGGGAAGTGGCAGCCCACATCAGCACCCCCACTGCCACTCCTGTGATTGGCTTCTGACTGAGTCCATGCAGGAGCCTGCCCTTGGCCCAGAGATGCCCCTGTTGATGGTGCGTCCTAGTGAAATCCCCCTTGCTCTGGGGGTGGGGATCTGCTGGCTGCTCCAGAAAGGCCATGGCGCCTCCCCCTACCTTCCTCTCCCAGCATGCATTGGGGAGCCTAGAGAAGCTCAGAGCTGAGCCAGAGACTGGGATGTGGTCAGCTCTCAGTCTGGATCAAAGCCGTTTCTACTGAGGAGTCCACTTGCAAGCACTGCTTGGTATGAGCTCTTCTTGTGCCCTTGTTCCTAACCATGAGGGAAACGGTGGCACGAAAAGACGCCATCCCTCGCCAGGGTCCTGTGACCAGGAAGTGGCAGGACCAGCACATGGTACCTGAGATCCTGCAGATGCTGCATTAAGGAGCATCCACCTGCAGAATGTTCCAGAAGGCACTAGTCCCACGCCCTGTGGGAGAGGTGACCTCACCCAAGTGCCTGTCCAGTCTCCGGGGATGCCTTTTTTCCAACCGGGAAATCTAGAAGGCAGCCTGCAGGGCCGATGAGAAGGGGGGACCTGTCTATCACCACTGCGGGCTTGCAGCCCAGGGACCAGCTGTGCAGTGGGCAGGGTGCCAGATGGGCCACCCATGCAGGCCTGGGCTTCAGTTTGTTTTCTGAATCTGTGTGTCATGATGATAAGGGTAAACCAAACCAAGCAAAATCCCTTTTCCTGTTGTATTTCTAAGAGAAAGGACACCAGGAGTTTTTACTCAGCACCCCTTGATAAAAATACTGAGCATTCACTAAGGGACTGTTGTATGCCAGTTCTCGTCCTGAGGGCTTTGTGTTTATCAATTGCTCTTGCTGCCACATTCCCAGGCCCACGGGAAGATCCACAACTGTGCCCGTCTCTAAATTCAGGGCATCCTAACCTGGACGTAGAGACGATGGAGTTGGGGCCACAACCCTCCCTCCTAAGCACTGCTGCGTGGGCTGGCAATGTGCTCCCCAAGCTTTCCTCCTTGTGCTGAGGAAGAGGCCCCTATGATGCCGGTACACTCACAGGCTCTGCCTGCCACGATCCTGGGGTAGAATGCCTCTGCGAAGTCCCTGGTGCTGGCTGCACCTGCCTCTTCAGATGGGGAGATGGCAAGAAAAGCAAGCAGGACTGGAAGGGTGGGCAGAGCAGAGCCCTCCCTAGGTAGGGCTCCCTGGGTGTCCAGGCAGGTTTGCTTTGCTGCCCCCTCCACGGCCAGTTCCTTGATTTCGCTCTCTCTTTCTCTCTCTCTCTCTGTGTATGTACCATGCAGGGATAGACCACTGCGCACAGGAGGACCACGGCTGTGAGCAGCTGTGTCTGAACACGGAGGAGTCCTTCGTCTGCCAGTGCTCGGAAGGCTTCCTCATCAACGACGACCTTAAGACCTGCTCCCGTGAGTCCCCTTCCAGCTTCCTGCTTAGGCACGGGTTTGCCAGAGGGGTGAAACGTACATGTGACTGCACAGCCATGGGAATGGATGTGGCATCCTTCCCATGGCTCTGAGGTGTGTGTTTGGGGGTGGAAGGAGCAGGCGCAGTGTCTGCTGGGACTGCATGCCTGCAGGGGCACTCGGTCCCATCATCATTGCCAGCGGCCTCCCCCTGGTTTGCAGGGGTGGACTACTGCCTCCTGAGCGACCATGGCTGCGAGTACTCCTGTGTCAACACGGACAGATCTTTTGCCTGTCAGTGTCCAGACGGACATGTGCTCCGCAGTGATGGCAAGACATGTGCAAGTAAGTGAGCGGGGGACCTGTGACTGGCGGAACTCGAGGCAGGGGATGAGGGCGTGGAGGGACAATGCTGGGCTGGGTGTGGTCCCGTAGGCCTTCGGGACTTCCAGCCTTCACAGGTCTCCCGGGAACATGTGTGACTGCAACCTGTAAGCATTTGAGCCTTGGCGGTGGCTTCTCCCCACCTCCTCTGGGTTTCCTTCCCCACTTCCTCATCTGTTGCTTCACTCCCTAAATTCTGTGACAACTGAGATTGGACTGGGCCAGAGCTAGGAGCCTGAAATGCAATCCAGGTCTCCCACATGGATGGCCAAATCCCAGGCGTGTGAGCCACCACCAGTGCCTCCCAGGGGGCACGTTGGCAGGGAGCTGGAGTGAGGAGCCAGAGCAGGGCATGAAACCCAAGTACTCCCATGTGGGAAATGAGTATCCGAAGCACTAAGCCCAGCACCCCAGCTAGAGCCGTGGAGAGTTCTCATCTCTCCACTCTGCCCCCAGCCAGCCAGCAGTGCCCACAAGTGATAACAACCTGCTGGCCGAGTGACAGGTGCTGTACCACACAGAAGCATCGTCACAGCTGGTGACAGGTGGAAAACTGCAGCTGGGTCAGTTGCTTAAGGTGGCCAGCTGTCCAGGAATGGACTCAAACTGTGCTCTGTCGGGTGCCAAGTCAGCCCTGGGGCAAGGCTGAGGCTCCGGAGCAACACTGTCCTTGCACCGATTCCCAGGCCCCCAGCTCCCCTGTGTTTGCTGCCCTGCAATTGTGTTCCCAAGCAGACTGTGGTCAGAAATGAATCAGTCATTCAGAACGATAGCGCTGGGAATGGAGGACTGTCATTTGCATCCTGCTGTCTCCCGGGTTAGAGCCCATGACGGCTGTTACCATCATGGCCACAGCCCAACTCATCCAGCTTTGGAAATCAGCTGTTCATGCCGGCTGACAGCATGGCTGGGCGGACCTGTCTCTTCACCACCTGTGGGGGGAAAAAAAATCTCTCCCCAGTCTGGAATCGTCTCGTGGATCTTGGCGCTTGGTCAGTCCAAGTCACGCTGGCTGCTGGTGGCTCCCTGCCCTGCTACCTCATAGGCTGCTGCTGCAGCCAGCTATGAGGGGCATGTGGGGACCCTAGGGTGCAGAAGGAGGGGTGTGTCAAGTAACATCTGCATTTCAGGGGGTTCGCAGGAGTGTTTGAACTCTCCATCATCTTTCATGATGGTGTGTCTCTTCTTTGTCCCTCTCTGCTATGACAATCAAGAGCTGACTAAGGATGCCATATTTCTAAGAAATTCTTCTGGACCCTTCCAAAAACATATGGCTCTTTCTCCTACCAATTTTTTGTCTCTCCCCCCGCCACACACACATGCACATCCAGATCCACATCTGGATTGTGCCTTTGTTGTTTTTCCATGCCATTCTTTTTTCTCGAAGTGTGTTTGTAACTAATGACATGCTGACCTCATCCCTGTGAAGAGTGTCTGACCATGTCATTAGCAGTGAATTCAGAGCTTTAGGAATGGCTATACAAGAATGTGCGAGAGAATCAGATGGCTTAGAAGTAGCCTTGGGAACTGTGGATGAGAGAAGCATTTTTCCCACTGGCTGACAGATGCATATGGGATCACACGTCCACAGCCACCTGTCTGCCCTGTCTTGTAATCATGGGCCAAATTTTCAGTGCACGTGTGTGTCCCCCAGCTCCGCCAGATGATGTGATGGCTGTGATGGGGGAGCTGTGATGGAGTCCCAGCTCATCTGCCTCCACTTGGAGCCGCAGGGGTAGGTGGTCTGAAGAACCATCCACTCCATTTCTAGAAGGTTCTCTGAAGCATGGAGAGAAGAGTGGGTGCCACTCTTGTCCTACTCCATAATCTTGGCTCCCTGACCCCAAGGTCTCTGATTGCCCAGCTCTCCCTGGGGGCTATCCTGGACTTTAGCCATTAGGGACACACACTGGAGCAGCTGCTGGAAGACCTCCCCTCTCCAGAAGATTCCCTGAGATAGACCCTGAGCAAGGGCACTCAACACCAAGAAAGAGTCCACAGGCCAGATGTGCACGGAACACACAACCCTCCTCTGCCCCACCAGGCTTGTGAGCTCCTGGAGGTCAGAGGTCACAGACCAAGTCAGAGTCTGTGGGACATGCTGCATCAAGTGAAGTGAGTACGAGCATGAATGGACAGAGACCGTGGCTCCTGGCACAGGGTCCACTCCCTACTCTATAACTCTCCGTGGCTCCCACTGTCCCCCAGAAGAAATTCCAATTGAACTCCTACAGTGGGCCTGTGGGAAAGCTACCCCTGTGCTAGGTCTTCCCCAAAGCCTCCACTGCTTCTGCCCAAACGGGAGGCCCCTACTCTGGGAAGGGGGGCCTGTGCCTTCCCATCTGTCCTGCATCCCCGGAGGGGGGTTGCTCAGCCCACTCCTCGTGTGTCATCCCATGGGGGAACTTCCTCCCCCACTGCAGGGCACGTGGCCCTACCTGCCAGGTCTGACTCTGTGGCCGTTGGTTCCTGCTGATAAAGACACTGCAGCAGAGCACAGGAATGTTAGACCAGGAGTTCAAGGACTGGATTTCAGTCTCGTCATTGCTGCCCCATATGGGAAAATTGACTCTCCCTGGGTCGGCCTGCTCATCTGTAATCTGGCACTGGTTATGGTTGCCTCTTTCTCGTAGGGTGGTATGTGTCCCAGAGGGGTCTCAGGCAGAAATGCCTGTGAGTTCCTAGAGTGCCCTATTTGCTTAGTGGGCCTCCTTAGCAACAGGCTCCTCCCACACTAAAGAGAGCCCCATCCCCCATGACCTGCTCTCCTTGGAGGGTCCTCCTGCTTCCAGAAGCACACATACCCACCAAGGACTGTTACAGGGGTCCTCTTTGAACTGCAAGGATCTGGGTGCTAGCTCTGGCATGGTGCCTGCTTGTGGGGTACGGGGGAGGGGAGGGCAGTAAGGTATGCACCTGCTCTCAGGTGCTGCTTCTTAGAAGGACACTGGTCCTGTGGGCCAGGGTCCCACCTTCCTGGAAACCTAATCCGTTCAGAGGCCCAACTCCGGGTACCTGCTGCCACATAGGAATGGGAAATGGAGGGAAACTCAGTTAAGGGGACTGGCTCTCCACCTGCTGAGAAGGCAGTGTGAGGCAGTGGAAACAACATAGGCAGGGGGCTGGTACCCTCAGGCTGGCTCCGACTTGAACCTCGGTCCCCTGACCTCCGAATCTTGGCCCCATGGGGGCAAAGCCCTCCAAACGCAGCATCTCCAATCAGCCACATCTTGAATGGTCACAGGCCGTGCCATCCTGAGCTAGCAAAGGCTGGCTCTTCTAGAAGTCAGGCAGCTGTGTTTTTCAGGTAGCCTCCATGGCTCTCTCTCTTGTGGTTGGGATCAGTTCTCCTAAGCTTGAACGTGGAACCCCAGATGCAGAACAACTGTCTGTCACATCATACCCAGGCACACAGTGGGCGTGTGTGACTCACCAGATGTACAGTCCAGATGTGGGGAACAGAGGCTGTGGGCGTGTGGGGCTGCTAGGCATGCCCCTCCTGCTTCCCGCCTGCTCCAAGGAGTGGGCCATAACCTGAACCTTCTGTTCACCCATAGCAAAGCTCTAGCTGAGGATGAGTCCTTACCTGCTGACATGGGCCTGAAGGAGGAGAAAGAGCCTTCTCCCCACCCGGAGATCTCCCTCTCTCTCCCAGGCCCTCTCAACCCCGTCCCTGAGGGAGGGTTTCCCACCTGGGCTGTCTTTCTCTCATGAAAAGCAGAGTTACAGAAAGAGGAAAAAAAAAAAAAAAGACAAAGAGAGCCTTTATTCACTGGTCCACTTCCCAAGCGGCCCCAATAGCAGGAGCTGACTGGTCTGAAGTCAAGAGCCAAGAACTCCTTCCATGTCTCCTATGTGGGTGCAGGGCTCCAAGGACTTGAGCCATCCTCCACTGCTTTCCAAGACTCCTAGTGGAGAGACGGATCGAAAGTAGAACAGAGGGGATTAGAACTGGTGCCCATATGGGATGCTGATACTACAGGCAGAGGCTTAATTTACAAAGCCATAAAGATACATATTTTTAGTATTTTTTATTTGAGAGAGAGAGAGTAAGAGAGCTCCCTTATGATGATTTGTTCTCCGAAATGCCTGTAGCAGCCTGGAAGTCAACCCAAGTTTCTCACATAGCTGGGAAGAACCCCATGGCTCAAGCCACCTGTTGCCTCCCAGCGTCCCCTGCGTTGGCAGGAAGTGGAGTTAGGATCTAGAGCCAGAAGTCTTACTCAGACACTCTGACGTAGCATATGGGCCCCCTAACTGACGTCTTGGCTGGATATTAAAGATGCAGCATCTGTTCTGGGTGGCAGGAGTTGTGATGTGGGAAGGAGTGGTGCCAGAGGAACCCTTATCTAGACTAAAGAAAGAGATGTCTAGCCTAGGGTAGAGTAGAGAGAGTTAGCCAGAAATGGAAGGGAACTGCTGCTTCCCAAGTGTAGGGAATGGCACCTGCAAGCCAAGGTTCCAGAGAGAAACACAGAGGTCAGTGTTTTGAGTGTTGAAATAGTGCAGAATTTCATGTGGCACAGTGGGTTAAACTGCTTGTGACTCAGGCCTCTCATATTGGAATCCCAGCTGTTCCACTTAGCCATTTAGCTCCCTACCAATGTGCTTGGAAAAGCAGCAGGTGATGGCCTTGGATTCCTGATCCCAGATGGAAGACCCAAATGGAGTTCTTGGCTTCTGACTTTAGGCTGGCCCAACTCTATCTGTTACAGCCGTTTAGAGGAGTGAACCAGCAGATGGAAGATTCTCTCTCTCTCTCTCTCTCTCTCTTTCCCTCTCTCTCCCTCCCTCTCCCCCCCCCCAACCCCTCCCTGTGTTTCTGTTACTTTGCCTTTCAACTGAATAAAATAACTCTTTAAAAAAGAGAGAGTCTAGCGAGGTGTGGGCCTGGACAAGCAGGTGTGACGCATGCCCTCCAGCTGTCAGTTATTGCAGAAGTTGTTCAGAGGCTGGCCCTGCCGACTGGCCTCTTCTGAAGGACACTTCCTTTATTGTCCGAGAACCTAGCAGGCTGTCCAAGCAGATGTTGTTGTGCTAGGATGATCCATGGATATACAACAAGATCAGAAAAATGGAGGTGACAGATTGTGACCTAGTCGCACCTCTGCCCCAGTACAGCTCAGACAAGTCACCTCTGCAGATGGTGGGACCTTGGGAAAGTCACTTGCTCTTTCTGAAGTCTTCTCCATGTCTGAAACCAAGAGGTTAGACCTGATCCCTTCTAGTTCCCACAGGATGAGTAGTAGCTGGCTTGGAGGAAGAAATCCATCGACACTGCGGTGCCCACCCTTGACCCCAGGGTGAAGGCATCGTATGGTGGTGACTCAGGAACAGCAGCTATTGGTACCTGCCGGGAAGCCCCTGAAGGGGTTTCCTGTACAGCCCTATCTTTGGTGCTAGAGACAAGCAGACTCCAGCTTGGTTGGCAGACCTGGCAGACAGGAAACATATAAGCTCACAGTCAGGAAGTTAACAGCAGCACTCCTTCTGTGGCCTCCCACTTGCCACATGTGGGTCTTTGAATTTCCAGTAGCCTGGGATATCCCTAACAGGGATATCCCTGGACTTTCTGCAGACCAGATGTGAGCTCTGTGTTCTGCAGGGCAGGTGTGTGTGTGTGTGTACACGCACGCACAAGTGTGTGAGGAAGGAGGAGCCCAGCTGCCCCCCAGGGCCACACCTGTGGGGTTCTCTTGAAAACATCTGCACTAAACTCTGGGTAGCAGGTCTTATGACTGGATTTTCAGAGCAGAAAACCAAAGGACTGTCTCCTCTGGTTCAACAAGAACAAGTCTTTCCTGTTGCCTGCCAGGGCATTATGAGATGATGCTGGAAACAGGAGAGAAGGGCAGACACAGCCCATGATCTCATGAAGCTCAGAGCCCAGTGAGGAGCTGGACACAGATCCAGAGAGCACAAATAATGGAATACTTGGTGTTTGGAGAGGCCAGGGAGGGGCTGGATGAGGGCTTTTGTTTGCTTTTTTTTTCCACTTTATTTATTGGAAAGGTGGGGATGGTAGGGAGAGAGAGAGAGAGAGAGAGAGAGAGAGAGAGAGGGAGAGAGATCTTTCATCCACTGGTTCATACCCCAGTTAGCTGCTACAGCTATGGTTGGACAAGGCTGAAGCCAGGAGCCTGGAACTCCATCCACATCTCCTATGTGAGTGGCAGAGGACCAAGCACTAAAGGCATCTTCTGTTGCTGTCTCAGGTACATTAGCAAGGAGCTGTATCAGAAGTGGAGCGGCCAGGACTCGAATTGGTGCTCATATAGGGTACAGGTGTGGCATGCACCATAATGCTAGCCCCTAGAAGAGGGTTAGTTCAATAAGGATTAAGTAGGGAATGTCAGTTGGTGAGAAAGAGGTTTTCAGGGAGAGCATTGACTTCCTAGGTTGGACTGAATGCAGAAGGAAAGTGAGGGTGGAGTGCAGGTGGTGCAAGCCTTACCAAGGGTTTTCTGTCTTAGCCAGAAACTTCCAGGAAGTCTTCCTGCTCCCTGCAAAGGGAGGGAGCGTTGTGAGCAGAGCTGCTTGTTGGAAAGAAGACAGATTGAACGAGGTCAAGGGTGTGTGTGAAGCTGGGAATTTGCTTCCAAGCATACCATGTGTTTGTTCGAGGTCTCAGCTGCTCATGAGCTATGGGCTGGAAGCTGCAGTTCCTTGTAACACAAGCCTTTCCACAGGACCACTCGCCTCATGGCTAGCCCCAGAGCGAGCAATCAAGACATGAGAGTGAGAATACACAGGGAGGGAACAGCCAAGACAGAAACCCCTGTGTCTCTGATAACTTGAGAAGTGACCATGCTCTTGGCCACTTGGACCCAGAGTGAAGGAGGGAACAACACAGATGAGTGAATGCCAAGGGATGCGGTTATGTGAATGCTGTTATTCAGTTTCATGTACTTGACTTTGCCAGGTTCTGCCTGCACCATCCTCTGCCTCCTTCACATATGACTTTTCACCTGTGCTTTATCTTGGAGAACCATCCTGCAGGTGGCTCTGACATGGGGTTGGCAGTAGGACTCACTTGCTGGTTCTTGAGCAGACACTCTAAGTAGGAGGCAAGGTTTTAAAAGCATGCATGGAACAAAAGTTCCGAACAGCTATGAATGGCAAAGCCCAAGAGCAAGGCTACAAATCCTAGGAGAGCCCAGGGTTGAGGACATGCCCAGTGGGCACCTAGTTTCCCATTCAGCAGCGCTGTTTGCCCCTGCCAGCTGGGACCATCACGGCTCAGGCCAGCCTGGAAGGGGAAGACTTTCCATGGTTCTTCAAGCTGAAGGCCAGGGCTGGAACTGACAGAACAGGCATGGGGCAGGCTCTCGCTGCAAATGCATGCTTAGAAGTCTTCTGGATCCTGGCTTGCTAAAACTGACCTAAAAGAGCTCTCACGATTTTATTGACTTGCAAAATGCAGTGTCTATTATAGGGTGGTGGAACTCCCTTCTGCTGCCAGCCATCAGCATCATGGTTTCCTCACTTGTACTCTCTGCTTACTGTCTCTTTTGGAGGAACTGCCCCCCAAGTGATCAGGACCTGCTGTTCATGACGAATGAGCCCAGAATGTGCCCAGAGAGGCAAGTCACGTTCCAAGCGACCAGGAGACTCCAGCTCTGCTTGGAATCTCTTCTGCAGCCATAATTCTACTTAACGACGTTTTCCCTTTGTCTGGGGATTTTGGCAGCACTCTTCTGCTCCAAGAAAGACAGGCAAAATTCCCTTTGTGTTTGAAAGCTTACTTGGGAATATAGCAATGTGGTGGAGTCAGAACACACATGGGACCTATTGTCATAAGATAACATTTTTTAGTCTGATTCTTCCACTTGCTAATTGTTGGTGTTGGCAAGCTGTTCACATTCCCAAATCAGAATTTCCCTCACTCTTCAATGAGAGGAACAGCAGCTGCCTTTAACAAATCCAGGATGGCTCAGGGGACTCTCCTACAGAGAGAGCAATGCAAAAAGGCTTGACCGAGACAGTGTCAGGTTCGTGCCTGCTTATAATTGCACCCTGTGCATCGGGGTCTTGATTTCATAACAGATGTGTTTCCATTGTGAGAATTCTGTTCTGTGTGAAAGCATCATATGTGTATGGTTCTTCCAAAAAGTCACTGTCCACCTGTTCTCAACAGCTTTAAAATATCAGCCTGTGGGATGGGCATTGGCGCAACAACAACATTGGATTGCCTGAGTACCATATTGATGTGCCTGGGTCCAAGTCCACCTCTGCTGTCAGTTCCGGCATCCTGCATGCTAGGAGGCAGCTGCAATGGCTCAAGGAGCTCAGTCTCTTGTCGCTGTGTGGGAAGCCTGGATAGTTTCCTTCTCAGCCCAGCTTTAACCATGGTGGGCATTTGCAGAGTGAACTGGTGGATGGAAACTCCCTCTGTCTGTGTGTCTCTCTCTTGCTTTTTTTTTTTTTTAATAAGCTAAAACTTGAACAAAATAGAAAACCAGCCTGGTGTTGACAGGCGCACAGATCTGTTCTCCCAGAAGTCACCCAGGCTCCTGGATGGCAGGGCTGCATTTGGATGGCTCAGTTCAGTGGCCTCGAGGTCATCCTACTCGCTTGTCCCACTCCTGCTGTCAGTCACTCCATGAATGTCACAGCCTCCATCTGGGCACTTCTCACCAGCTCGCCTGGGCCACCGGACCTGGTGGAGCAGGCATCTATCTCCCAGCTCTCCAGGATTCCCCAGCCTGCTTTCTCTGCAGAATGGCCTTTTTCAAAGGGAGTCAGACCGGAGCTCTGCAGTGCTGCTACCCTGTGGCAACCGCCCTCCTCACACTGCTCCAACCGCAGCCTCTGCGTGCCACGTGGTCTGGCCCACCTCACTCACTGGCCCCGGCCCCAACCTGGCTCCAGGGGACTCTCTCCCAACGTCCCAACCAACTGTGAAATTCTTGTCTTTTTTTCTGTTTTTTTGTTGTTGTTGTTTGTTTTTGTTTGTTTGTTTGTTTTGAAATGGGCTAGGCCACTTCCTAGCTCTGCAGCTTGCACATGCTGCCCCTCCTGGCTAGAAATCCCCTTTCTCAGATACCCCCAAGTGCTTCCCATCTTCTTCGGGCTGTGTCCAGTTGCTTATCTGTACCACATGAAACAGCAAATCCTCCTGCTCCCCTAGGGGCCTCTGTGTTTCCCCATTTGGCTTTTTCCCCACTGGACTTTACCCCACCTGCTTCTTCATGTGTTTGTTTATTGTTTGTCTTCCATATCCCATGCCACCTGCTGCCAAATGTAAGCTTCAGAAAAGCAGAAAATGTGCTTTCTTCACTGTTAAATAACCAGAATGCAGAACAAAGTCGGACTCAGAGTAGGGACTCAGGGCGTGTTTGTTGTTTGAAAAAAAAATGAATCAATGGATTTCCTAACTGTGGCACACACTCACACGTACCTAAGTGGATCTGTAGACAACTTGCCAGTATGTAGTGAAGTTAAACTTATTTGTCATATTTAGAGCTCATTTATCTATTTCCTTTCGTAGATTATCATCTCAGGTGCACTCTTCCTGTGGAGGTGATTATATTGTTTTATTTGTGTGGACTCTGTACTAAGAGATTTCTCATAAGCATGCTCCAGAGTCAGAAACACACAAGAGAGGCTTGTCATTCTTTTCCTGGCAGGTGTCTGATATGTCTTGCAGGGTAGATTACGCCACTAACAGATGCGCCCGTTTCTTCTCCTGTTTCTGTGATTCCTCAGGGTTGGATGCCTGTGCGTTGGGGGACCATGGCTGCGAGCATTCCTGTGTGAGCCACGACCACTCCTTCGTGTGCCAGTGCTTTGAAGGGTATCTGCTCCGGGAAGACGGGAAAACCTGCAGAAGTAAGCCTTTGCCTCATGGGACCATTTCAGATCACTGTGTGACATCTCTGTCCCGATCTTTGGTGTAAATTACTCTCCCAGCTCAGTGCTGTACAACACAAATGTGATGTAGGATCCTAGGTTGGATCCTGGGATGGAAGGACAGCAGGCAAAAACTGAGTCAATGGATTTTGGTTACTAATGGTGTGGATTTGTGTGAATTCATTCATTATTTAAAAATATAATAAATAAATGTAGGGGCTGGTACAATGGCTTAATGGCTAAATCCTCACTTTGCAAGTGCCGGGATTATATTTGGGCAGCAGTTCGTATCCTGGATGCTCCACTTGCTATGCAGCTCCCTGCATATAACCTGAGAAAACAGTAGAGGATGGCCCAAAGCCTTGGGAACCTGCACCAGCTTGGGAGACCTGGAAGAAGCTCCTGGCTCCTGGCTTCAGATCAGTTCAGTTCTAGCTGTTGCATCTACTTGGAGAGTGAACCAGCAAATAGAAGATCTCTTTCTCTCTCTCCTCTCTGTAAATCTACCTTTCCAATAAAAATAAATAAATCTTATTTTTAAAAGGTACCCTATTATTATAGGTTAATAAATGGTAGAGGAAATTTGGCCTAGGGAATATGAGCTTTCTCTGTACTGTTTTTAGGCGAGTATGGTTTAACTGTAGCAGAAGAACATGCAAGCATATTTCTAAAGGTTCATGGGAAAATGGAATTAAAGGCTAAGTTGATTTGAGTGCAAAAAAAAATTAAAATCCACACATAGTTTCTGCCTTATGCATTTTCTGTGAACTTTGATACCCTTTGCACGGTGAGAAATCTGAGTCCAATTCTAGCCGTGGCCTATGTTAGCTGGAAGAGTCGGTGAATTTCTCTGTATCTCCATGTGTTTGTCTTTAATGGGGTTACTGCTGCTGTCATGGAGATGACCAGACGATGAGGCCACTTCTGGGTTCAGAGGACCGATTCTCAGAGATGCAGGAGCCCACATGAAACTGCCAGTGTTAGTAGCCTCAAAGTGATTCCCGGCTGTAAATTCCAGAACTATCTCTGGTCTGCTCATCAAATCTCAAGCCCTTGATTTCCAACCCGTCAGTCACTACCTTCTTGGGCTTCAGAAGCCAACAGTATTTGAAGAAAAGACAGCTCAATTTTTCCGATAGGAAAACAAAATGAGTCTTGTAAGTCATATTTTACATCAGGGACAAAGTCAAAATTCAATTTTGGTGTTGTTTACACTGAGGTTTAATCTCTTAAGGCATCATCTCACCAGGGTTTCCCTTTGGGCATCAAAAACTGTGGCTGTGGCAGTGTGGGGTTTTTTTTTTTCTTTTATCTTTAAAAGAAAAAGCTTTATTTTTATTGGAAAGGCAGACATACAGAGAGGAGGAGAGACAGAGAGGAAGATCCTCCATCCGATGATTCACCCCCCAAGTGACTGCAATGGCTGGTACTGCGCTGATCTGAAGCCAGGAGCTTCTTCTGGGTCTCCCATGCAGGAAGCAAGGTCCCAAGGCTTTGTGCCGTCCTTAACTACTTTCCCAGGCCACAAGCAGGGAGCTGGATGGGAAGCAGGGCTGCCAGAACCAGAACCAGCACCCATATGGGATCCCAGCGCATTCAAGGCAAGGATCTCAGCTGCTAGGCCACCATGCCGGGCCCTAAGATTTTATTTTTATTTTTATTTTTATTAGAAAGGCAGATCTTCATAGGGAAGGAAAGACAGAGAGATCTTCCATCTGCTGGTTCACTCCCCAAGTGGTCGCAACAGCTGGAGCTGAGCTAATCCAAAGCCAGGAGCCAGGAGCTTCTTCCATGGCTCCCATGTGGGCACAGGGTTCCAAGGCTTTGGGCCATCTACTGCTTCCGCAGGCCACAAGCAGAGAGCAAGATGGGAAGTGGAGCAGCCAGGATGAGAACCAGAGCCCATATGGGATGCTGGCACTCAGAGGTGGGGGATTAGCTAAATGAGCCATCGCACTGGTCTCTAACCCATTGCACTTTTATGAGACTTAGAAAGCATGTGCAGGCGGATGGCAGTGGGGGTGATCTGACTTGGAGGTGCCGACCTGCATCCTCAGCCTGACTGCCCACTCACGTGGTGCTGGAGTCCATGGCTGAGGCAGGCAGCCCCTCCGAGGGAAGCTCCGTGCCACATCTGCTCTGGCGAGGTGGTTCTCACGTTGCTTTACAATGCGCAGGGAAGGACATCTGCCAGGATGTGGAACATGGCTGCGAACACACATGCGTGAGCCGTGGCGAGTCCTACATCTGCAAGTGCTTCGATGGCTTCCGGCTGGCAGAGGATGGCAGACGCTGCCGCAGTAAGTAGCTCTGGGCAGAGCGGAGGCCCTTCCCTCAGTAACTGTGTGGATGTCCCGGGCAGTGCCTGTCACTACTGGACAGAAGTAGAATGTCTGTCAGCAGTCGCTATGGCATCACGGATTAATCGAGGGTCTTTGTCTTCTGGGCTTACAGTCAGCATAAAGGGTTACAGACAGGGAGCTGCATTGGAAGTGAAGCAGTTGGGAATTGAACTAGTGTCTATATGGGATGCCAGCATTGCAGGCAGTGGCTTAACACACTACTCCAATGATTTTTTTTAATTCTATCTTCTCTGTCATTTGTTTCTGCAGTTCACTCAGAATAGACTCCGAGAGTTTAGTTAATGCATTTGGGTTCTACAGCAAAACAGATGTAGTGTGTGTATATGTATCTATCTGTTTATATATATGTGTGTGTGTGTGTGAGTGAGTGTAGAAAGAAAGAAGATTGACTTGTCTAGAGGATTTGCTCATACGGCAGTGTGGCTAGAAGGTGTGATGTGTGCAGGGCAGGCTGGAGAATCAAGGAAGAGTTGCTGGAATGCTGGTGTCTGAAGGCCACATGGAGGCCCTATTCCCTCTTCCTGGGAGACCTTGGTTTCTTTGTCCTAAGGCCTTCTCTGGGTTGGATGAGGCCCACCCACATGGTGGAGAGTTGTCTATTAGTTGATGGAATTGTTCATCACATCTGTAAGTTCTCTTCCTAGAATGTGTAGGCTGATGTTTGATCAAACTGAGGACTATCACCCAGGCAAAGGGTTCCATAAAATGAACCATCCCAGTACCCACTGAAAGACAGGGATGTTCCTACCTGCGCTCAGGAAGGCAGGTGTTGGAAGAAGCATTGATGGAGATTTGTTTCCACTGCGAGATTCTAGCTACTCATCCCCACTTTGCGGGTTTAGACCATACCTGCCTCCCTTTGCAACACTCTGGCTCGGTGGTGATCCTTTTTTATTTTATTAGAATTTATTGTATTTATTTGGAAAGCAGATAAAAGAGGAGGAGAGAAAGAGATCTTTCATCCACTGCTTCACTCCCCTCAAGTGGCACAGTTGTGGCATTGCCAGGCTAAAGCCAGGAACCAGGCTGGGTTCCCCCTGTAAGTACAGGAGCGCAAGAACTTGGGCCATCTTCTGCTGCTTTCCCAGGCATGTTAGAGAGCTATCTATGGAAGTGGGGCAGCCAGAACTCAAACCTGTGCCCATGAGGGATGCTGGCATCTCAAAGGGAAGCTTAAGTTGCTATGCTACAACACTGGCCCTGGAATAGTCCTTTTTGAGTTAGGCAAGATCAGTCTGTTTGCTTCTGAGCTTCATGTATGGGGATTTCTTCCCAGATTCCATTGAGATCATTGGGAGCCGCTACGGATTAACAAAGTAGGGTGAAGGTGGGGTGTTCGCATCATCCTCATTCCTCCCTTCCTGGAGATCCTGATCCGATCCTGCAGGGACCCCTGCACCAGGTGGTGTTTCAACTATACCCTACAATATCCCTTCTGCAGAGCCCAAGTCTATTCTGCTGTGTGTTGTCTTCCCGAAACGTTTGTGTATGCTTTCATTTCTGTAAATGTGCACCTGCCCACAGACATTTACCACTCCGAACTGTGAGCTTTTGTACATGCAGCACTAACTTCAGCCACTGCAGTTTCATCCTTAAGTCAGATTCCACTATCCCCACCCTACAGGGCTGGGAACCTCTAGTCTGCCAAAAAGAGCCTCATAGAGATATACGGCATCATTCACAGGCCAGGCAAAATGATCAGCGGAGAAATTAGCCTGTTTTAGAGAGAGGTACTGAATCTTCAGTATCAGCTGTGGCTGCCCTTAGCAGGGCCAAAGCAAATGGCGCCCACAGCCTTACAGATGCTTACAGCCCACAGCACAGATGCTTCTCCTCACTCTGTGAGGGGTCTGAAATCCCTGATGCTGGTGTTGGTGTGAATTCTCTCCTTTTAGAGGGCCAGAGCCAGAGCTTAGGCCTTCACACACTCCCCAGCAAGTGCCTCAGCTGTGCTTGGAGACCTCAGGGCTTCTCAGGGAGTTGCTGAGGTCTGTGTTTTCATCTGTACATTGCAAGCACTTGTCCCTGCTTCCTCCATTTCACAGGATGACAGGAAGGTTGAAGGACTATAACCACTTTGCAGAGTTCACATACCTCACACATGAGACAATCGAAATGCAGTGTTTGGGATCTCCATGGAAAACAAATATCTGAAGGGCAGCGCATGAAACAACGCTCACATTCATAGTGAGCTCAGACACCCATCCTCCTGGTGACCACTCAGGCCTAGGGAAGCCTGAGCTTGCTTTTATTTCTTTGTTTCTTCAAAATGTTTTTTGTTGTTGTTGTTGAAAGGTAAAGTTCCAGGACCAGGAGCTTCTTCCAGGTCTCCCACATGGATGCAAGGTTCCCAAGCTTTGGGCCATCCTCTATTGCTTATTCAGGCCACGAACAGAGCTGGATCAGAAGCAGAGCAACCTGGACCCGAACCAGAGCCCATATGGGATGCTAGCATCACAGGCAGAGGTTTTGCGGCCCCAACCAGAGCTTTCTTTATTCTTCTTCTTTCTTTTGTTATAGATTTATTTACTTTATTTGAGAGAGAGAGCAAGAGGGATTTCATCCACTAGCTCACTTCCAAATGGCTGCAAAGGCTAGAACTGATTCAGTCCAAAACTGGGCTCCCAGAGCCTGTTTCTGATCTCCCATGGGGGTACAGAGTCCCATGGCCTTGGTCCATCTCTGCTTTTCCAAGCCATCAGCAGGGCACTAGATCAGAAATGGAGCAGCTGAGATGCAAACCAGGACCCACATGTGACGCTGGCACCGCAGCTAGAGGGTTGGCACAATACACCATCACTCCAGTCCCCAGGATGAGCTTTATAAGAGATGCTTTGCCTGCACTTTTGCCTATGCAAGTCCAAGGCTACAAAGGATGCTGGGAAGCTGATTTGAGTGGAGATGGAGGTTGAAAAGAAGGGCTTTCTTCCCAGCTTTCGCCTTGCATGACTCCAATGGGGTCACTCACCTTCCCCCCAACCCCTCACTTCTTCCCCAGGGAAGGACATCTGCAAGTCTACCCACCACGGCTGTGAGCACATGTGTGTGAACCAGGGCGAGTCCTACATCTGCAAGTGCTCCGAGGGATTCGTTCTTGCGGAGGATGGGAGACGATGCAAGCGTAAGTGATCTGAACTTGGCTGTCTGCTGGGCTCTGTTTTTTCAGCACGCCCGCCTTCCCTCACCCCTGCATCTCTCATACAGAGGAGCGTGTGTGCACAGATGCAGAATGGGGAAGAGGCGAATGAGCTGCCGCGTCTGCAGAAACACTTGTGGTTTTGGTTAACAGTAAGTTCTTAAGCAGCCAGAAAGCCAGCGTGATCTTCGGATGGTGGGGAGTGAGGGACACTGGGCTGTGTTCCGAGCAGGGGAATCCCATTCAGGGAGTGGTGTTTTAGAAAGGGGTATAGATCCAAATCCAAAAATAAAACTGCAGCAAAGCAAAGGAAACCCCAGTTATTTTATAACCTCAGAGTATTGAATCCCTTTATACACATGGCATAAACATAAAAAACAATGGCAGAAAAAAGGAGTAATAAATAATATAAGAACTCTGGTATCTTAAAAAAATTGACTTATTTATTTATTTGGAAAGCAGAATGACAAAAAGGACTGAGAAAGAAATCTTGTACCCACTGGTTCACAAATCAAATGTGTGCCTGGCTGGGCCAGGCTGAAGCCAGGAGCCAGGAATGCCTTCTAGGTCTCCCACATGGGTGGTAGGGACCCATGTACTTGAACCATCCCCTGCTGCCTACAGGCACATTGGCAGAGAGCTGGATCAGAAGTACATAGTAGCCAGGGCTCCAACCAGCACTCTGACATAGAATGTAGGAAGCTGGAGGCACAAGCTCTGGTTGAACCTGCTGTGCCGCAATACCCATTCCTAGGATGACTATTTTTTTAACCTGTTTTTTAGGGAACAATCATTTGACGCAGTAGTTAAGATGTGGCTTAAAATGCCACACCCCCTGTTTTGAATACCTGGGTTCAACTTCTCACACTGGTGTTGCACTCCAGCTTCCTGGTAATGCGGACCCTGACAGGCAGCTGTGATGGCTCAGTTCCTTGAGCTCTGCCACCGGTGGCAGAGACCTGGATGGAGTTCTCAGCTCTTTGGTTCCACCTGGTTCAACCACAGCTGTTGTGATTATTTTGGGGGAATGGCCCAGCAGATGGGAGCTCCCTGTCCCTGTTTGCTTCTCTCAATCAGTGTGTTTCAAATATTGGAAAAAAGAAAAACAACCCTTGAGAAAAACTGATCATTTCTCTGTTGGCCAAGGTGTGTTGTCATGAACAATTGTATGTGGATCAGTGAGTGTCTGAATTGGTATGGTCTTTTGGAGGGCAGTTTGGTGTTATTTTGAAAGCAATCTCGCATTTTGGAGTTGAGTCCACAGACATGTATAGTGCTTACAAAGTCATATATACAAGGGGCTGTGGTTAAAACATGGTTTTCCTCCTTCCAAAAACTCCTGCTAAGCTTTGGTCCTGGTGTTGCAGGAGTTAGAAGCGCTGGATCTTTCAGAGTAAGTGCTACTTTCTGTAAGTGAATGAATTCTCACTTTCAGGGGACTGGGTGCATGACTTGTGATGGCAGGTTGTTGTTAAGTGAACCTGGCATGTCCCTGTGGTCCCTCTCGCCCGTGTGTTGTTCTCAGTGTCCCTGCCATGTGACTTGGTCAGCCACGGCACCCTCACCAGAGATGGAGCAGCTGCTGGGAGTTAAACAAACCTGCTTTCCTCATAAATGCTTAGTCTCAGGTTCTTCATTATAGTAACATAAAAAGGACTAAGGCATCAGGATATTTTATGCAGCTATTTATAGCAACCAAGAAACTGAAAACAAGGCTTTATGCCCTTAACGCAATGTTCATCAATTATGATACCAGTAGACAATAGACTATGATGCAACTGTTAGGAACAAGGCAGCTTTCAGTGTGTCCCCAAAATATTTTAAGTATTAAAAAGCATGGTACTGAATGACTTTTATACTGTCATTGTGTGGTGTCATTGATGCTTCTATAAAAATTGCTCTCTTATGTACTCTCCTCTGCCCCTCCCCCCTACACACACATACTTCTGAAAGTTCCTGGATGGCATCTCATTATCAGAGTGTCTGAGTCCAAGCCCTGCTTTCACTCTCCATTCCACAGTGAATACATAATGTATGCAATGATAAGCAGCAGGTCCCCGTCACTCCTTGGGCCATCTTCCACTCTTTTCCCAGGCCATAAGCAGAGGGCTGGTTTGAAAGTGGAGTAGGCAGGATATGAACTGGCACTAACATGGGATGCCAGCGCCACAGAGTACACAAGGATCAGCGTACTGCACCACTGTGCCAGCCCCATTTGCATGCTTTTTAATCTTGTTTACTGTCAGTCATTGAGTTGCCCCAAGAGCCTTGGAGTAGATAAAGAATTCATGACAGTCACTCATGTTTAAGCTTTCATAGATGAGAGGCGTACTTACAGGTGAGCTGCCAACAGATGCCCATCAGTAGTATTTATGGAGCACCCATTGTGGGCCAGGCATTAAGATCACAGAAGTGAAAGGGGCCCAGGCTGTGCTGACGAGGAACTTACAGACTGGCAGAAAAGATGGGCACAGAATTAAATGCTCAGTGTACAATGTGACTGCTGCCTTAGCGGACATTAGATTATAAGTACTGGGCATTTTGTCTTGATCGCTGCTGCAGTCCTTGGGTACACCTTGCCTAAGGCAAATGCTCAATGAAGATGGTTTAGGATTTACGGAGAACTTTACCCTCAAGTTGGGGTAGGAGAGTTCCTTGGAAGAGCTCGCGGCCAGAGTGAATTATTACGAACCTTCTGTCCCAATGCAGTCAGAATGCCAGCATGGGTGCACTGTTAGCCTCCTGGAGTGACACTGTAGGAACCTTGGAGGTATTGTTCAGACACTTTAAGGTACAGCCTCCTGCCCCCTGCTGCCCCCAGTCCAGCTGGTGGTGATCCAGGGTACACTATGGACCAGTTGGTAGCTAATTGATACTGATGGGATTTGTACAATATGTACATTTTGCTTGTGAAAAACATGCAGTTTTGATCCCTTTGACAAGCCAAACACAACAGTATATCTAAAAACTGTTGAGGGGAGCGACGTTAGCCTAGCAGTTGTCTGCCTCCATAGCAGGGTGCCTGGGTTTGAGTCTCGACTCCGCTTCCCAGTCCAGCTTTCTGCTAATGCACAGCTTGGGAGGCAGCAGGTGATGGCTCAGGGACTCAGTTCCCTGCTGTCCTCGTGGGAGACCTGAGTTGAGTTCCAGGCTTCTGGCTTCAGCCTACCCCTGGCCTAACCCAGTCTATTATGGGTATCTGTGGGGAGTAAGCCAGCAGATAGAAGATCTGTGCCTCATTCTGTCTTGAAAATAAGATGAAAATAGGGCCCAGTGCGGTAGCCTAGTGATCCCATATGGGGACCAGTTCTAATCCTGGCAGCCCCGCTTCCTATCCAGCTCTCTGCTTGTGGCCTGGGAAGGCCGTTGAGGATGGCACAAAAGCTTTGGGACCCTGTTCCCACATGGGAGATCAGGAAGAAACTCCGGGCTCCTGGTTTTGGATCGGCACAGCTCCAGCCGTTGTGGTCACTTGGGGAGTGAATCAAAGGGTGGAAGATCTTCCTCTCTGCCTCTCCTCTTTGTATATCTGACTTTGCAATAAAAATAAATATTTTAAAAAGATGAGAATAAAAATTTTAAAAGTAAAGTATCATATACTTAGTTCCATTAAAAAAAAAGTGACCCTCCCAATTCCACTTGTCTTGTATTTTTTTCTAAAGAAGCACAAAAGTGGTTCCTCCAAGATGTGAGGTCTCGAAGGGAAGCTTAAGTTCTCTCCACTGGAGCGCATGAATGAGTTGTAACTGCATCAGCTGTCTGCGTGTTTGCCCGTAGGATGCACCGAAGGTCCCCTCGACCTGGTCTTCGTGATTGATGGATCCAAGAGCCTCGGAGAGGACAGCTTTGAGATTGTGAAGCAGTTTCTCATGGGGATCATCGATTCCTTGGCCATCTCCCCCAAAGCTGCTCGAGTGGGCCTGCTCCAGTATTCCACACAAGTCCGCACCGAGTTCACCCTGGGCAGCTTCAGCTCGGCCAAGGACATGAAGAAAGCCATAGCACACATCAAGTACATGGGCAAGGGCTCCATGACAGGGCTGGCCCTGAAGCACATGTTTGAAAGGAGTTTCACCCAGCTGGAGGGGGCCAGGCCTCTCTCCGCACGGGTACCCCGAGTGGCCATCGTGTTCACCGACGGACGGGCTCAGGACGATGTCTCTGAGTGGGCCACGAAGGCCAAGGCCAATGGTAAGATTGCAGGATGGAGTTTGGCTCGGTTGGCGGGCACGGCAGGCCAGAGGGAGGTTCTGGGAGAGCAGAGATGTCAACCTCTATGGCTTGCTTTAACAAACCGCCACCTCGCTCAGACCTGACAGGACTGGAGAGGGACAGGGAGGGGTCACGGCCTGGGAAGTCAGGGCACCCAGCCTACCCCAGGTGCAGGATCTCCTACTGTGATTTCCTGCCCAGAGAATCACCCCTTCCATGAGCTCTTGCACGCTGAAGGATATGCAAGTTCCACCTCAAGAACTTGTTAAAAATAGCTTCCAGGGGCGGGGCACGTCTGTGAGAGGTGTGTCTTTGCATTTAGCCTTTTAGCCAGTGCTTCCCGTAAATACTGTAAAAGCGGCAGCCCCCTGGGTAGAGAATCCTCGGGTGTTGGCAAACCAGAGAAACCATCCAAGTCCTGGAGAAGGGGGTGGCTCTACACTCTGATGAGGCAAGGAGGAGTCAGATGTGCGGATGTGAAGTGCGTGTACAGATGTGAAGAGGAAAGCTCACGGCTTTGGCCAAAGGGAGCGTTGTGGCTAGGATGACTGGTGGCATCTAGTTCAAGTACAGGGCGCCCCCTGCCACCCATATAGGAGATCCAGACGGAGTGCTAGGCTCCTGGCTTCAACCTGGCACAGTGCTAGCTACTGCGGGTGGTTGGAGAGCAAAACAGGGGATGAAAAAGGATCAGGGAAGGTATTTCTGTTAATGCTTTTACTTGTTTTACTGAGATGAATCTGACTGTCCCTTCAGATTTCTACAAATCACCCAAAGACAGTTGGCATATTTATTTGGTTCTTGAATCAACTAGATTTATCTGATGCAGCAGCGTCTGATATGTTCAATTACCTTTATGTAGCTAATGCAGTCTCTACATGGTGTCACCCTCTTTAGGAAGCTGTGTGCAGTAAAGTCCCTGGGCTCCCAGACACGTATGCTGAACTTGACTGTGGAGCTTCCAGACTCAGAGCAAGACATATCTCTTGCCCTTGGCTTAAGGAGCCGTCTTTGCACTGGGCAGAAGGGGGGAAGTGTAGTCTAATGAATGAGCCAGAAGAAATCAGTGCCAAAAAAAAGTTGAAATCAAGCAGAACTTCTTTCTGACCAAGTTCTGCTTTCAGATGAAGGGCATGGGCAGTTTAGGGGGAGGCAAGTCCAGCAATTTGTTCTAGAAAATCCCTCGAAGCAACCTCATATCCCTTTGGGAATCTAAGGTTGATACCTGGGTTTGTTCCTTTTCTGGATTTTGGGGTTCTCCTTGCAGCTTAGCATCCTCCCAAGTTTGTGTCATCCCAGGAGAGGGAGATGAAAGCAGCTTCCCTTGGTCCCTGGGTCACCTAGGATTCTTACCCTGTGCCTTCAACAAACAGAGACCAAGTGATGTAGTGAGGGCATCAAGTGACCTGCTTCATAGACTTCCTGAAGAGATGCCCCTGAGTAAACCCTAAGATAGTGATATTTCCTACTTACCCAGAAAGCTAATTCCAGGAACAGTTAAAGAGCAGTTAACTAACCCTGCCCATATGCATACTTGTCAACTCTGAAATAATATTAAAATGTTTAAATAAATAAAAATCTTTTAAAAATATAAATAACCCTGCCTAAAACTAAGCAAGATGGTGGGAGTTTGGCTCCCCTACTTCCAGGTGCTTCCCCTCTCTCTGGATCCCTCTCTCTTTTGTTCAAAATAAAGACAAAATCGAAGGAGTGTTGGTATGTACTCCTCCACTCACACCACCACTTAACATCTGGCTGGCTTTGGGAGCAGGAACACTGCTCCAACCGTGGAACACTGCTCCAGCCACCTTGTTCTTAATCTTCCCTGCACCGTAGGTATCACCATGTATGCTGTTGGGGTTGGGAAAGCCATTGAGGAGGAGCTGCAGGAGATCGCCTCCGAGCCCACGGACAAGCATCTCTTCTATGCCGAAGACTTCAGCACAATGGGAGAAATAAGTGAGAAGCTGAAGACAGGCATCTGTGAAGGTAGCATAGCACCCACATCCAGCAGACACCTTAGCCCACAGGGCAGCATGAACCCCTGCCTGAGGAGTTCTCCACCTGCTTCTTCTGCATGCTCCCCCCACAAAAAAAGTGATGGGCAGGGCCGGTGATACCTGGACAACCTAGCCATGGAAGAGGAGATGAAGGCTACTGTGGCTAGAGCACCTGCTGCGCACCCAGCACGGTGACAGATGTTTTGACATGCCGGAATACTGAGGCTTTCCCGGCATGCTGCAGGAACTCAGGAAGGCCAAGGTGCAGTTTTGGGAAAGGTTGTTCTTGGAGCAGAAGGAGATGGGCAGTCCTTACGGGCTGTAGCTGGGGCTATGCATGTTTCAAGTTCAGGTGCACCTTTCCCTAAGTCGCCCCCTACTGCTTCTGTACAGCAGCTGTGTCCATCTTTCCTTTCACTCTGTCCAGGTTCAGTCACCTGTCAAATGTAGTCAGCAATGTGTCTTGGTCCTCTCAAGGGAAGGACTCTGAGAGGAAGGAAGATCAGTTAAGAGTTCATTGAGTAGATCATGCCTGGCCTCTTGGGGAGCCGCTGCCACTGCAACTTGATCCCTCAAGAACTTCAACTTTTTTTTCTGTCCTAATGGACATAACCCTTAGGGGAGGCGAGTCTTAAGTAAGGTGCAGGCTTTTCTTACTGGAGAGAACTGCCCTCGTGTGGTCATAGATAAGCATAGCAACTGCTTGTCCCTGTGAATGTTGGGTGTTGTCAAATGAAGCTCTGGAGTTGGCTTGGGACCTGCCTCCCAAAGCTCTTAGGTGCACACGTGGGCAACTGTCACTCCTCTTGGTCATCTTTTTCTGTTCAGCTCTAGAAGATGCTGACCGAAGACAAGACTCCCCAGCTGGGAACCCACTAAAGAGGGACCACCAGCCAACAGGTAAATTGCAGTGTTTCCAGAAACTTCCATGGGTGCCTGCACCACAGCTTCTCTCCAGGTGAGAGTGAGAAAGAAGTGGAATGAATAAGATTTAAATTATGTGCCTTGGAACCATTTTGCTCCATCAGAGCAGGATTCACTGACCCTATACTTGGAGCCATCGCAGAGGATTTTGTGTGTCCTCTCGGCTGACGCTCTCTCTGTTCTAGCATGTCCCAAAGTACACCTGTGGTACAAGTTCTAGGAATACCAAGAACATTATGCCATTGATGGCCATTTGATAACCACCTAAGCGTTAAGCATGGGGTGAACATTTGATACTCACATCCCATATCAGAGTGTCTGTTGAAGGTTTGGTCCACTCCACTTCTGATCCAGCCTCCGGTGAATGTGCACCTGAGGCAGCAGGGCTGATGCTGTAGGTACACGGGCCCTCCCACTCACGTGAGAGACCCCGCACCGAGCTCTGGGTTCTGAGCTGCTTCCTGCCTACTGTAGGCATTTGAGAAGCAAACTAATGATGAAAGCTCTCTGTTTCCCTCTCAAGTAAAATGCAAATAAATAAGTAATTGTTGTAAAAAAACAGTGTTCAGCAGGTTGGACTTCAGTTTTCTTTCTCTTTACAGAATCTGAGCCTGTCACCATAAACATCCGAGACCTCCTCTCCTGTTCTAATTTTGCAGTGCAGCACAGGTACCTGTTTGAAGAAGACAGTCGGTCACAGACGACACAAAAACGTTTCCAGTCCACAAAATCCGCAGGTAATTCCAAGCAAAATAGTGCTCCAAGATCCCTTACACCAGCTTTCCGACTTACCAATAAAATTAGCTTAAAAAGGAAGCAGGAAATAGGATCAAGGAAAAGAGAAGGAAATTAAGTTGAATGAAAGCAAACAAGCAAAAATCTAAGAGAGGCTGGAGCGGTCTGCCCCGCTAAGGCATGAGCAGGCCCCTGGCAGTGCAGTCTGCCCGGCTAAGGCACGAGCAGGCCCCTGGCAGTGCAGTCTGCCCGGCTAAGGCACGAGCAGGCCCCTGGCAGTGCAGTCTGCCCGGCTAAGGCACGAGCAGGCCCCTGGCAGTGCTGGAAGCACACACTGCTCCATCCTGGTGCGCCTTGCCTGGGTCCGGCCGCACGGCCAACGTGGAGCCTTTCTTTGCTTATGGTGTCCACTCTGTGCTGCTTGAGTCCTGTGACTGCGTAAGGGCTGTCTGGTGAATGAGAGAGGTGAACGCTTTCCATCTGCTTTCTCAGGAAACCCTTTGGAAGAAAAGCAAGAGCAATGCAAGTGTGAGAACCTGATCATGTTCCAGAACCTTGCAAATGAAGAAGTGAGAAAGCTAACCCAGCGCCATATCCTTTGCCAATGCCATGCTTCCGTGAAGAATACAGAGAATAAAATCTCAACATTTCACACTTCTTTCATGTGGGTTGGATCGGATGAAGCCATTCCCATGGAGTCATGGAGAGTAAGCTGTGGGAGAGGATTTTATTTCTTCATCGAGTGACCTGGTGGGTGTTTGGGAGTCAAAGGTGAGTTGAACTTAGTGGCAACACTTGGGTTTGCCATCTGCTGTGCCAGGGGTTTAGCAGTACGTCCAGTTGGCTGCCAGCATGCAAAGTGCGAAGACTAACTGGGCTCCCTGCATGCTGGGAGGGTGAGGGGGATTGGCACAGTGTGTGGAGAAAAAGAACATCCCAAAGGTTTCAGACTTGTTCGGAATACCATCCTTTTCCTCTAGCACTGAGTCAGACTGCAGCCACACTTGGTTCCTGGAGGATGGGGGGCGGAAAGGGGTAGGAGAGGAAAGAGGAAGGAGGGGAGAGGGTTTTTTTTCCTTCTTTTTTGGCACTAGAGATCTTTTATATCAGCACTCTGAATGATGAAATGTTTTACCAAGGGAACAGCGGGATCCAATGATTCATTAAAATAATATCACAAAAAGAAGGAATACTTTGGGACAATAGAGAAATGAGGATTCAGTGCTTTGAAACCCCGGACATCCTGCCAACTATGGAGAACTCAGAATTACAGTAAGCTTGCTGAAGCCGACCAGCGCTGGCAGAGGGCTGTCTCAGCGTGCATCAACTGGTCCACAGGGATGTGACTTAATTCAAAACCACCGCTGTGCCAGTGGCTTTACATAATAAGGAACTGCACAAAGCTGATTCCTTTCTGAAAGCTGCAAATATGCTCCCCAAAAAAAACACACTAATCTCTCTTGACAGTGCTTAAGAGAGACGATGAATCTGTCTCTCCTTCTGTGTAAAGGAGCAGATGGGTGGGGTCTTTACAGGGAAGAAAATGCTTACTTATTTTTTTTTTAATTATTTTATTTTGATAATCTTCACATAGTTGATTAGGGCACTAAGGGTCAAGGGCTACAGGAAAGTGGGTAAGACCATTGTTTCTACATTATTATTATTATTATTATTATTATTATTATTATTATTATTATTTCTGTATCTGGGGTAAGGGAGGAGATAAAGGGAGAAGCCACACCCAGCCTCCCACCCATCCCAGGTCCCCGACGTGGGGCATGCTATGAGGGTCCTGTTCAAGTGGTTTTGATAGTTCAGCAGTTATGAATTGCTGCCAATCTCACCACTCCAAGCACGATGAAATCTCTCTAGAATCCACTGGCTGACATAGGCCACCTTAGAGTTTGCCCAGAGTGTCAGTGCCAACACATGGCTGGGGTAGTTGATTGGTTTCAGTGAGACTTTGAATAACCTGACAAGCATCCAGGGCTTTGTGTGTGATTCTGTGAAACATTAACACAGGAGTGACACCACACACCGAGCTGGCTCCATGGCTTCCACCAGCACAGCTCCTAGCATACCAGCCAGCTCCGTCTCACTGTCTTTACCCCTCTCCTGCAGGACCACAGGCTGTCACAAGCCGGCACGCTGCCCACAAGCCCGTCTTGGCCAATGGGACCCGCACCTTCTGCCGTCCTCCTAGGTCATGATTCTTCCCATACTCTCTTCAGTAGCACCCTTATCTCCCAGAATCCCCTTTCTATCAATTCATCCATTTACCCATGCGCCCCATCAACAGTATTTGGTTGGGTTTTTCTTAGGTGTTAGAGCCACACCACAAGTTGCTGGCAGAACCACGACTAGATCCCCCAAAGCAAAATGAGTAAGGGGCTCTGGAGTGACATGCTTTTGGCCTGAGCCCCACCCCTGCTCCACATTAGCTCTGAGGCCCTGGGCAAATGACTTCTCATTAAGTTTCCGTTTTCTGGCTACACGTGGTGCTACTAATGTTTGCTTTACAAGGCCACCGTGAGAATTGACTGAGATCACAAACAAAAGTTCTGAGATTCCCTCATGGCATACTCACCATGGGGTGAGAAGTCTCTCCAGCTTCCCAAAAGCCCAGGACAGCTCACCGTGTGGCGACGGTGGCCATGGCACGAGTCCCAAGCATTGGGTCCGACCTGGCTCGGGTACCCCCAGCAGCCGCCACACTACTGAGGGTTTCTTTTGCCCGAGCCCCGCGGTTGAACACCCACCCCCTAGGTTCCTCCTGCCACAAAGTCTGTTTCTTTCTCTTCCTCCCATCCCACTTGTGAAGATCTGCTTGAAGAGAGACTGATGATATTGCATAGGAAACAATATGGGTCAGAATTCTTCAAGGCTGTGGCCCTTTGGTGATGGGTGAAAACTCCCCATCTCCCTTCTCTTCTGACTTTATTTCTACTTGGCTTGATCATTTCATTTCCCTCTGCTACATTTTCAACATTGTCGGTTCTAACTGTCAGGGATGTGCTATGGCAAACTCATTTACAAACAAGAGGGGAGGAAGTGAAATCAACAGTCTTCTTTATTTTTTAAAATGGGGGCTAGTGTTGTGGTGCAGCACATTAAGCTACTGCCTGCAACACCAGCTTTTCCTATGGGTACCAGTTCTAGTTCTGGCTGTTCTAATCCAGCTCCCTGGGAAAGCGCCTGGGAAAGCAACACAGGATGGCTCAAGTGCATGGGTCCCTGCTACCTATGTAGGGTAACCACACACAGTTCCTGGATGCTGCCTAGCCTGGCCCTGCCGTGATCATTGCAGCCATTCGGGGAGTGAGACAGTGGATGGAAGATTTCTCTCCTCTGCAACTTTGCCTAATTAATTTTTTTTTTCTTTTAAAAGGACACGTTCAAATTTAGCTATCAGGCTTTGATAATGTAAAAAAAAAAAAATTTAAATTAACACTAGAAATGTTTGCCTTGACAGCAGGTATCAAATGAGTTACTCCAAACTACAAATCAGGATTTTAGTATCTATGGCAGGAATGGAGGGGTAGGTACCTTTTACTTTGGGAGGTAGTCAAGTTTTGATGTAGATAAATCAAGTTGTATATGACTACAGATAAAATCAGGCAATTCAGATTCTTCTTCCTTAACTTGAGATTTACTGGAAGAAATGACACAGAGAATGGAAGCCTTGGAGAACCGCCTGAGATACCGATGAAGAAGAGCAGGGACCTGCTACACTGAGGATGGCCGAAGCAGTTCGGAGCCCCAGGGCTCAGGCTGTGTTTGGGTCTGTAACATCGCAAAGGCAGACAGAACCAGTACTGAGATGGCTGGCTTGCTACAAAGAGTAGACACACTAACTTGTGTGAGTTTATTTAGAAAACTATCTTTTTGAATTCTGAGTTTACCAAGTGAGACTAAATAAGCTATGCAAGGCATTTTGTAATATACTGTGGACAAGATGTGCGTCAGCCTGGGCCTGCCTTAGAGTGTTGCAATCTTATTTGACCATAAAGTTTGTGGTCTGACTTCCGTAGAACACTGGCCATAGGAAATGCTATTTTTTGTATTGGACTTTACCTTAATTATATGCATATGGATTTATGCATAAAACCACAGGACATATGTAGTTGTGCAACAAGCTGGGTTTTTTTTTAAATACAACATTAAATTTAACTTCAACAAATGGTATTCTGTGTACAATTCTTAGTTTAGCTCTAAAAGCTAAGTAGATATGAGAAATGGTCAATATGTATCGGAGAAAAATGTTGACTCTCATAAGCAAGAAAACGCAGGTTAAAACAGTGACACCTTTTTTTCAGCCAGTGGCCTGCCCAGAGTGTGTCTGACTAGTGTTAGTAAGGATGTGCAAATTCAGGACAGTGTACACTGCACGCTGTCAGGTTTAGAACCTGCTGGTGTCTGCTGAAACTGAAGATCCCTCAGCTCCCTAATCAGCAGGCGCGTGTACAGGTGCACTAGACAGTTTTAGTAGGTACACACAAGATCTATGCAAGAATGTTAATAATGCTCATAAAAGCAGTCCAGCAGAAACCACCTACGCATCATTGAGAGAACACATATGTCGTATAGTCTGTCACAGAGACACTATACAGCATTTACAGGAACCCACTAAATCTACACCAATACATGGTACACTCAACAGAACACATTGCAAAACAACGTCCCTGTATTGGAATACCTAGCTTAAAATACTGACTCCGCTTCTGATTCTAGCTTCCTGCCGATTCCTCCCAGCTGCCCCACACGTCTCCCTTCCCCAGGTGGGGGCGGCAGCAGTGAGGGCCCCCGTAGATGGGTCCTGCCCGCCCACGTGGGAGACCTGCATTGCGCTCCCAGCTTCAGTCCCGCTCAGATCTAGATGTTTGGGCATTTACTGAGTGAATAAGCAGACAGGAGCTCTGGCCCCCTGCCTTGTTAATTTTTTAAACATGTTAATGACAAAATTTTTTCAGCATTATACCATTTCTGCATGTTAAAAAGATTGTTTTTAAGCACTCCAAGAAGTGTTCTGAAGGAATATACTCCAAATGGGAAAATTTTTAAAGTGAGAATAGGGACAGAGGTTGAGGGGACTTCAACTCTGAGCTCAAGAAGGCTCTTGCAGACTCAGCGTGATAGCATAGAGGTTAAAGTCTCACCTTGCACGCACGGGGATCCCATATGGTCTCCGGTTCTAATCCTGGCAGCCCCACTTCCCATCCAGCTCCCTGCTTGTGGCCCGGGAACACAGTCGAGGATGGACCAAAACCTTGGGACTCTGTACCTGCGTGGGAGACCCGGAAGAAGCTCCAGGCTGTTGGCTTCTGATTGGTGCAGTACCGGCCATTGCAGTCACTTGGGAAATGAACCAGTGAATGGAAGATCTTTCTGTCTCTCCTCCTCTCTGTATATCTGACTTTCCAATAAAAATAAATAAATCTTAAAAAAAAAAAAAAGGCCCTTGCAAAAACAAGACAATAAGGTGGTGGCCTTAGTAAGAAACAAAGATAGATAAAATGACATCCTTTCCCTATTTTAGAGCCCAAATGAGGTTTCCTAAACAGAGCACTTTCCTTGAACAAGCTCATGTTTAACCATCTGAAGACAGTTTCCATCATGAGGTTCCTTCCTCATGAGCAGTTCTTGGAGTTGTCTTTCCAGGCAGCAGTTATCACTGCGTACTAACATCTGAGCTTTATTTTTGTGTAACACCTTTAACCCTGAAAGCCCGGGTTTCATCAGCAGTATCGAGTTGGGTTACAGTTGGGTTAGACTTGTATAGCTTTCAGTTGGAGCAACTGGACTTCACTTGTTGTGTTCAGGCTCCCTCTAGTGGCAAGAATGCCCTTCTGCCCCCTTCTATTGGATACATGTTACCATTTTTTAAACTCCTTTTGAATATTAAACTCTTCTCCAAAAACTACAAAAAAAGAACATAAGATAAAAGGCAAACAATCTTAGCTACCAGGTTCCAAAAACTCAGTCCCCAAAGTGCTGCAAGTCACATAATGGAAAGTGAAGGCAGGACATGCTGGGGTCTGCACACTGTCTTCCTTCACCATAGGAAATATCAACATGGTCTGACCAGTTCACAGCAAACAGTTCCCCTCTGGCTCCAAATGTTTTCAACCACCTTGAATGTGCAAGTCTCTGGAGACAAACACGAGCACCTTAGAACATGTTGCTGGTTCAGTCGCTCTTAAACCCAGAGATGCTAGCTGAGTAACAGAGCTAACATCTTCGTGGGATACCTTACAGTATTCACAGCTCTCTCCTAAATAAACCATCCTCTCACAAATGCTAGCAGTTATTTCCCAATTAAGCAACACTGTCTTGGGATACTGGGAATGTCATTTTTTGAGTGTGATCCAAGGACCATACACTTAACGTAAAAGCAAAATACCAACTACATGAATAACTAACTTCAGACACAAACACCCTCACCTTTCAACCTGGGTTATATGGACCAACTCAACAGTTACATACATCTACTCTGGATTCCAGTTACTAACTGCTTTCCCTAGACAGTATTCAGCAGGTGTGCACTTCTCATCTTATCCATCACTAAAAGCCAGTTGGGCCTGGCGGTGTGGCCTAGTGGCTGAAGTCCTTGCCTTGGACATGCCGGTTCTAACCCTTCCCAGTGTCTCCACTTCCCATCCAGCTCCCTGCTTGTGGCCTGGGAAAGCAGTGGAGGACGGCCCAAAGCCTTGGGACCCTGCACCCACATGGAAGACCTGGAAGAAGTTCCTGGATCCTGGCTTCGGGTTGGCGCAGCACCAACTGTTGCGCTCACTTGGGGAGTGAATCATCGGACAGAAGATCTTCCTCTGTCTCTCCTCCTCTCTGTATATCTGACTTTGCAATAAAAAAATGAATAAATAAATTAAAAAAAAAAAAGCCAGATAGGAAAGAGACTTGACAGGAAAACCCAGAAGACATTGTGACTGACCCTTCTGTAACCTCCCTCAAGACTCAGACACGTAAAGATAACACATCACTTAGACCACTCAACTCTGGATCAAGGTGTAGCTTTTTACATTTCCATGGGATTTAGCATGGAAATACAGAAGTTTCTCAAAAGCATCGACACCAAGCTTACTTTCAAGATTACGAGGCATAAAACCTGTTTGGACAGTCTGGCACTGAACATTTAACTTAGGGTCTGCAACATTTCCACTCTAACCACTTGTCTCACACTACTCAAAAGACCCTTACTGGGGATCAGGGCAGTGATGTAAGAAATTAATGCCCACCTTCCAGAGTGGGCATCCCATATTAGACAACAGTTTGTGTCATGGCTGCTCTGTTACAGCTCCTATACGGCCAGAAAGCAGAGTGGAGGATGGACCAAGTCCTTGGGACCCTGCACCAAAGAGGGAGGCCCAGAAGTTTCTGGCTTCTACATCTGCTCAGCTACAGTCATTGTAGCCATTTTGGGGAGTAAACTAACAGGAAAAGATCTTTGTGAAAATCTGCCTTTCAGGACCCAGCACAATAGACTAATGGCCAAATCCTCAACTTGTATGCACCAGGATCCCATATGGGTGCCGGTTCTAATCCCAGTTGCTACATTACCCATCCAGCTCCATGCTTGTGGCCTGGGAAAGTGAAAGGACAGCCCAAAGCCTTGGGACCCTGCACCCACATGGGACACCCAGAAGAGGCTCCCGTATCCCGATTTCGGATCAATTCAGCTCTGGCCACTGCAGCCTTTTGGTGAGAGAACTAGAGGATGGGCAGTTTTTCTGTCTTTCCTTCTTTCTATAGATTTGACTTTCCAATAAAAATCCTTAACATCTCACTTAATGTCTTCTTAGATTTAATAAATTGAAAGCTCTGGTTCAAGTTTTTTTAATTGCAAAGTCAGATATACAGAGAGGTGGAAAGAGATCTTCCATCCACTGCTTCACTCCCCAAGTGAAGTGTAACAGCCGGTGCTGAGCTGATCCTAAGCCAGGAGCCAGGAGCTCTTCCGGGTCCCCCACACAGGTACACAGTCCCAAGTGTACTGTTTGGGCCATCCTCGACTGCTTTCCCAGGCCACAAGCAGGGAGCTGGATGGGAAATGGGGCCTCTGGGATTAGAACCGGTACCCAAATGGGATCCCAGGACATTCAGCGCAAGGACTTTAGCCACTAGGCCATCACACTGGGTCCTCAAGTCCAGTTATTTAGCACTGGTATCGCACACGTGTATGTGGTAAAATGTAAACGTCCTAAGACTGGACTTAGGAAGATCAAATTTTGTCAACATCTAACATTAAAAATAAACTCCCCTCAGAAAACAAACACGAAGTGGGATAAGTAAGTCCTCACCCTCTCTAACCCTACCTCAGTAAAGTGTGTGAAACAAAATCTAGAAAAAACAACCGACATGGACACAACGTTTTAACACAAGCTCTGTTTTTATTAAAGGAAAAATTTCAGGATTTACTTTTCACCAGTCTGTTCTGGCATGCTTCTAATAATATCAGAGTCACCTAGAAAATAAAAAACAGTGATTACTGAGAGTCATAGACGCTATTCTTTGGTTATGAATTTTCTAGCAAAGTCTGCAAATTGTTATCTGAGACAGCTTCCACTAGCTATCCTGCCATTTCTCATCAGAGCCCACAACCAGCCATCACCCGTGACCACACACCAATGAGAACTGTTATCACCAGCATTTCTAAGACCAGACATAGGGAGAGAACTAGGTCTGGGGACACATGCGTGGTCTTAATATAGCGAATGTTTAGCCTGCCCTGATTATCACAAAATCAGAACAGCGAGAATATTCGCACCATTATATGGATTAACTCAATTCTCATTAAACTCAAAACAGAAAGTAGCTGTCCGCACCCTTTTCCCAACCTATTTTACCTGTTTATTTTTGGGCAGCAAATAAAGATCGCTTTCCTCTATTTTACCTAATTACTATCCCCTTTACCTTTCACCCAGCTGTTATTTCTTACGTGTTTCATAACCTCAACATAAAAATGTATTCATTCAAAACAAAGTTAACTATACCATACGGCTTTCAGTTCCCTGTTAACTCAAACTGCAGGTGATGCTCGCCATCTGGACGCTGCGTTAACAGGGACATCTGCAGTCCATTAAAAAGGGGAGAAAACGACTGCTGTAAAAGCATACCTGGGTCAATGATGGAGAGCGTGCACACTCTGTAGTACTTTCCACACGCTGTGCCCAACTCTATGTTATTGCCACTGTAGTGATGGACACCAGTTTTGGCCAACATGGCGTAATACTCTATTTCAGATTTCCTTTGGAAACAAAAGAAAATTGCAAATAAACAAATGTTCTACCAGGTGACTGACAGACTGTGTAATGCTTGGGGAGGCCTTCGAAACCCAACTATTATGACTCTTAGATAACCGATATAAGCCAACCTTCACTTGGATAGAAGTGACAGTAACCAGCAAATAATACGCGCTATGGTGAAGACAGCATCTGGGGCCTGGCACAGTGGCCTAGTGGTTAAAGTCCTTGCCTTGCGAGGCTGGGGTCCCAGCTGCTCTACTTCCCAGCTAAGCTTCCTGCCTGAGGCCTGGGAAAGCAGTGGAGGACGGCCCAAAGCCTTGAGACCCTGCACATCCATGTGGGAGACCCAAAAGAGATTCCTGGCTTCGGAATGGCATAACTGGCCGTGGCAGCCATTTGGGGAGTGAACCAGCAGGCAGGTTTTTTTTTTTTTTTTTCTCTGTAAATCTACCTTTCCAATAAAAATAAATCTTAAAAAACAGCAGCAGTACAATGGGCTCATTACAAATGCACCTCAGGCCCTGGGCAGGATGCAAAGAAAATAATGTACAATTCGGCAAAATCCCCAATGGGATTTCTTTGCACTCAAAATGAAAAACCACTATTCTAAGGCAGGATTTTAAAAAAATGATTTAGACTAAGATCAAGCCATACGATAGGATGCAGAACATTCTAGGATTTGGTCAGTAATGACAGACACCCTATAGGAAATTGTTGCGAGGCATGTATCACTACAGGGAATTGAGTGTGGGAGACCTACCACTGGCGCTGTGTTCCGCAAGGTCCAGGTCTGGTATATTTACAATCCCCAAACCTCCGACTCATGCATGAACCTTGGCTCGGAGAACGGAGCGCGGGGAGCGAAGCAGGTGATCCTAGGACAGGCTGCCCAGCCCGACTTAGCTTTTCCTACGTTATTCGGCATCTCTAGCACCTAGGCACGTTTCAGGCAGGCCGCAGCCTGCATCCCTGCACGTGGGGTGTTCCGGGGACTCCCTCCCAGTCACCTCAAGGCCGGGCAGTTGTTGGCGAGGATGACGAGCTTCGCCTTGCCCTGTCGGATCATCTTCAGGGACTGCTTGTAGCCCAGCACGTATTTTCCGCTCTTCATCACCAGCTGGAGCCGCGAGTTGATGGACTCCAGCGATTTTTTCTACAAAGTCGGGAACACGGGCCCTCAGAGCTCTGCCATCTCGGCGGGCGAGGGTCCCGACGCTCCCGCCGACCCCCGAGACCCCCCACTCCGCCCCACGTGAAGCGCCCTCCGGCCCCGGCGCGCCGCCTCACTCACCGTCTTCTTGGCGGCCACCATCTTCCTGCCTGAGGTGCGGGACGGACCTCCAACCTACAACATACGGAGGCCACGTTGGCGATCCGCAGCCACGAACGGCCGCGCGCAGGACTGCCCATCCTGCCCCAAGCCCCGGCCCCGCAGAGCCCACTCACCTAGCGCGCCCGTCAAGATGGCGGGGAGGAGCGAGAAAGGAAGGAACTCCCACAGTGCAACGCTCTTCACGGCCGCGCCGGAAGCGGAAGGGGCGGGACTAGAGGCGGGGCGCCGCTCCTGGCGGCTGCGGAGGCCGGTAGTTACCATGGTGACCGCGGCGTTTTGGTTTTCCGCGTGTCAGTGTGAGTTGAGTTTCCCTTTCTGCCGCAGTATTATTAGCATGAACCTGTAAAGGCGGACTGCGTGTTTGCTGTGAACGTTGGACCTTAGTGTAAATGTCCGTGACGATCAGCGCCCCGGCTGGGACGCTTCCGTTGGCTCTCGGGGTACTGGGGTTGAGTCCCGCTTGGAGGGACCAAGTACTGAGAACCCTGCCACCCACAGGGGAGACCCAGATGGAGCGCCCAGCTGCTCTCTTCCCTGGCAGAAGCGAGCATTTGGGGAAACTATTTCATATATATATATATCCGCCTCTCAAGTAAACAAGACTTTAAAGAGCGTTAGCTGGGGCCGGGTCTCTTAGAGTGTGGGTAAAATGTTATTGTTGGGCAGTATGAGGTTCCTTTGTGTGAAGAAAACTGCCTGCTACTTCGCTAGGCCAGGAGGTGCCTGGACTCTGGGAGGATTCCACTTTAGCAATAAATCTGTCCTGAGCCACGAACTGTGCTATATTGACAGATATTCATGTCTGGTATATTTCTGGACCAGAACTCAGACCTGTGGTTTAAGACTCTGCAAAGTTTATTCAACTGCTTGCCTCACTTTAAAGTAAAATTGTAATAGCAATTTAACATTTAGGCACAAATTATTTAACATTGTACAAATCCTGTATATCTGCCCTCTATAATCTAGTTCTGTATAGTTCTATAAACACATTAAGTTCTGACTTTGTTTTCCTAGGTAATTTTAGAGCTAACAAGTAACCAGTCCTTTGGATTTTTTTTAGTGTAAGATTTATTTATATTTGAAAAGATGCCTTCCATTCACTGACTCACTCCACAAATGGCTGAGACAGCCAGTGCTGGGACAGGCTGAAGTCAGGAGCCAGGAATTCCATCCTGTTCTCCCATGTGTGTGGCAGGGGCTCAAAGTAATTGCTGCTTTCTCTGGCATGTTAGCTAGCAGTTGGGTCAAGAGTGGAGCAGCCAGGATTGACTTAGTCCTCTGGGAATGCCCGTGTTGGGAGTGGCACCTGAGCCTGTGATGCCACAACTCCAACACAGATTGTCTGATTTAAAGAAAACACATGAAGCTGGTACAGTGGTGCAGCAGGCTAATCTTGTGCCTGTGCCACTGGCATCCCATAGTGTACTCCTTTGAGTCCCAGCTGCTCCACGTCTGATCCGGCTCCCTGCTAAGGCCTGAGAAAGCAGTGGAGAATGGCCCTACTCCTGGAGCCCCTGCATCCACGAGGAAGCTCCAGAAGAGGCTCCTGGCTCCTAACGTTGGACCAGTCCAGCTCTGGCTGTAACAGTCATTTGGGGAGTGAACCAGTGGATGAAAGATGCCTGTTTCTGTGATCCTGACTTTCAAGTAAATAAATAAATGCTTATTGAAAGGAACAAAGGTAAGGAAAGGAAGAAAAGAAAGAACAGATGTGAGAGAGTAAAACTGCTCCCTGATAGAAGACAGAAACACAGCCTCTCTACTTCTGATCCTGTGCTGCTTTCCTTTCCTGACCCATACTTCATACATGGTTGCCAACCTTTTATTAAAAACCAAACTGTCAGGCCCAACACAATAGCCTAGTGGCTGAAGTCCTCACCTTGAATGTGCCAGGATCCCATATAGGCGCCAGTTCATATCACAATGGACCCACTTCCCATCCAGCTCCCTGCTTGTGGCCTGGGAAAGCAGACATGGATGGCTCAAAGCCTTGGGACCCTGCACCCCTGTGGGAGACCTGGAAGAGGCTCCTGGCTCCTAGTTTCAGTGTGGCTCAGCTCCAGCCGTTGCTGCTGCTTGGGGAGTGAATCAGCAGACGAAAGATTTCCTTTCTGTCTCTTCTCCTCTCTAAAGATCTGACTTTTCAATAAAAACTAAATCTAAAAAAGCAGGTTGTCTCATTCATTCCATCCTAGCCAGTGTTTCGTGCAGGGGGTAGGATGCCACTTGTGGGGCTGTGGTGCACTCACCACCACCCTCCCCTGCCCCACTTGTAGCGCTGGCATTCCGTATGGGCTCCAGTTGGAGACCTGGCTGATTCACATTTGATCCAGTTTCTTCCTAATGCATCTGGGAAAGCAGCAGAAGATGGCCCAAGCACTTAGCCCCTGAAACCCATGTAGGAAACCTGGAAGAAGCTCCTGGTCCTGGTTTTGGCCTGGCCCGCTCCAATTGTTGTGGCCATTTGGGAAGTGAACCAGCAGACAGAAGACTTCTCTGTGTAACTGTTTCAAGTGAATATTTAAGATAAATCTTTTAAAAGATGCTGTTTCACTTGGATCACATATTGAAGAAAGCAAATTTACGGTTTATTCCCCCTCTATAATGTAGCTTCGTACATCTCAAGAATCAGCAGGTAATGGCTCAGATGCTCAGGGCCCTGCCAGCCACATGGGAGTCCAAAACAGAATTCTGGTCTCTTGGCTTTAACCCAACGCAGGCCTGACTGTTACAGGGGAGTAAACAAGCAGATAGCATATCTCTCCATCTCCCCGTCTCTGCTTTTTGCTGCTTTTCAAATAAAATGAAAATAAACATTATAGGAAAGACTAATAAAAAGTAATATCTTGGAGTTCTGGCGTTTTCACCTCTTCCAGGCCTATGGAAGATATCTCTGGATGTGAGACCTAGGAACCTGAGTTTAATAGGCATTTTGGGTGATTCTTATGAAAACTAACATCAGAAGTGGAAACCTAAAGACTGAGTTAGATTGGTGCTGAGGCGTATGCTAACTTAGACACTGAAGCCGACATTGTGGCACAGCAAGCTAAGCTACCACCTGAGATGCTGACCTTCTGTATGAGTGCTGGTGTGAGTCCTGGGTGGGCCACTGCTTGTCCAGCTCTCTGCTAGTGTGCCTGAGACAGCAGTGGAAGATGGCTCTTCACCCACATGGGAGACACAAATGTATTTCAAGGCTCCTAGTGTTACCCTGGCCAGTCCTGGCTGCTGCAACCATTTGTGGAATAAAGTATCAGATATCAACGGAAAATTTCTCTCTCTCTCAACATTATTTGTAAGACAAATAACTTTAAAAAAATTAAGCAATTCAAATACCTGGCTATGCACTGTATTTTTTATATATATATATTTTTATATATATAAAAATATATATATTATATATATATATTTATTTATTTATTCATTTATTTTTATAGCAAAGCCAAATATATAGAGGAGGAGAAACACAGAGGAAGATCTTCCATCTGTTAATTCACTACCCAAGTAGCCTCAATGGCCAGAGCTGAGCTGATCCGAAGCCAGGAGCCTGGAGCCTCTTTCGGGTCTCCCACGTGGGTGCAGGGTTCCAAGGCTTTGGGCCATCCTTGACTGCTTTCCCAAGCCGCAAGCAAATAGCTGGATAGGAAGTGGGTCCATTGTGATATGAACCGGCGCCAATATGGGATCCAGATATGTGCAAGGTAAGGACTTTAGCCGCTAGGCTACTGTGCTGGGCCCTTTCTTTTTCTTTTTTTCTTTCCTTCTCTCTCTCTCCTTCTAAGATCTATTTATTTTTATTCAAAAGACAGATTTACAGAGAGGAGAGACAGAGATAACAAGGGAAGGATCTTCCATCTGCTAGTTAACTCCCCAGTTGGCTGCAACCACCTTATCTGAAGACAAGAGCTGGAGTTTCTTCTAGGTCTCCCTCACAGGTGCAGGGTCCCAAGTATTTGGGCCTTTCTCCACTGTTTTTCCAGGCCATAACCAGGGAGCTAGATGGGAAGTGGAGCAGCAGGATCATGAACCAGTGCCCATGGGGATGCTGGCATTGAAGGTGGAGGATTAGCCTGTTGAGTCATGCTGCCAGCACCCGGCTGTATACTTCCATAGTATTTTGTATTTACTTTCCTCCAAAGTAATCAGGATAAGTATTACTCCCATTGTAGGAGATGAATGATAGAAGCACTTGAAGTGACTTTCCTGAGTCACTTTTTATTGTATATACTATGGTTTAAATGTTTGTGTCCCTCCCAAAGCTTAGGGTGAAGCTCCTGGTTTCAGCCGGGCCAAGCCCTGACCGCTGCAACCATTTGGGGAAATGAACTTTCAGGTGAAGCTTCTCTGTGTGTATGCGTATTTCTCCCTCTCTCTTTCTTCGTTGCTTTACATTTAAAGTAAAGTAAGTAGGCAACTAAGTAAGTAAATAAATAAAACATACTTTCTAAAAGTACTGATCAGGCATTATCCAGTGATCATCCAATGTGCCTGAAGCCATAAGACAGGACGGGTAATTAGGAGAATGGTCAGGAAGAAAGGAGCTAATGCAAACCTTGTGTATCACTCCACAGACTTGTAAGCAACAAACTAGCATGGCTAAAGCAAAAGTGAATTTAGTTTATAGTTCTTCAAATAGATTATAAGCCAGGGGAGCATGACCCAGAGCTGTGGATCCTGTGCATGGGAAGAGGCAGCGCTGATTCATAGTTTGCTGTCAGAACACACTGTGAAAAACCACAGCACGTGGTGGTGGCTGGTGCCATAACTGATGTCTCAGCCATTTTCTGAATGTGAAAGATCAGCAAATCCCACGAAAATTCACCTGTTGCCTTCCTCAACTCACAGTAAACTGAGTTACTTGCTGACACAATAATGAATGTAAGGTGTTGAGGATGCGTCTAACAATGGAGGATGCTGGCTGAGGCACACTGGGCAGCAGAAGCAGATGTAATCCAGTGGGCCTGTGGCACCCAGGAAGACCGGTCATTAGCCACAGGAAGTGGCTGATGGGTTCCCTCAAAGCAAGGTACCAGTCTGGAGTCTTGGAGTTGGTCTTGCTTCTGGTGGCCAACTGGCCAGGTGAACCCCGGTAAGGGGAAGAACGTGGTGTGGAACTATTTCTACTTTCTCTCCCTTTTCCTTTAGCCTGTTCTTCCTGAGCCCAATGATGAAACATTGGAAAACCATGCTGA